GGGGTTTTATGGGAGTGTCTCCAGGGGCTTATCTGCGACCCAGCTGTGCCTGCGAGGGCAGTCCTGGACTCCACAGCAACATTCCCCGCGATTTCATCGCAGGATCTGCTCGTTGCCTCTGTGACCGGTGACACGGTCGCGCTGCTCTTCACAGCGAGTCAGTGTCTGCCGGTCGCCTGCTCTTCACAGCGAGTCAGTGTCTGCCGGTCGCCTGCTCTTCACAGCGAGTCAGTGTCTGCCCGCTCTGGGGTCCTGCGCGGAGGCTGCGCGTCTGCATGGCAGCCCGTCTGCATCCACGTAGGCAGGACGCCGGGCTGCAGGGTCCTCGAGCACGCCTTTGCATACTAGGGTAGAGCGGCCTGCCCACGCCCTGAGGTCAGGAAGGGTGTCAGCTAGGAGTGTTTCTGGCCTCCGTACTGGAGATGCAGCTCCAACTCTGGAAGCTGGACAGAGTAGGTTTCCCTGTCTCAGGATGAAAGGGGAGGCCCCAGCGCCCTGAGGGGCGGCCAGCTGCTCCGGAGCCAGCCTCTGCTGTCCAGCCTCGGGGCTGAAAGGAGAGCGCTCCACCTCCCCTCATTCCAGGCGTGAGGGCAGAGGGCAAGCGTGCACAGCAGCTCATTTGCTCTTTTTTTTTTAATCAGGAAAGGCAGAGCTTCCCCAGAAGGTCCATCGAGGGCATATGTGCTACATCTGCTTGACCAGAACTAGGTCACACGGCGAAGGGAGTGGGAGGGGGTGCTTTATGTGAGAAAGGAAGAGGGGAGATGGACATTTGCTCACCAATGAGCGGAGTCTGCCAAAAAGGGGTCTAGGAAGAGGGAAGTCCCTGCTGTCACAATGGACAGTCCGTGAAGTAGGCACCACCTGGACCAGCCACCTCAAGCGGTGCCCGTCAAGCTCACCTTGAACTCGCAGGCGCAGAGACTGAGCTGTGGACCTAGCCGTGGGGACCCATCTTTAGATGCATGTGCACTGGAGGCTGCAGAGAAGGGCAGAGCGTGGAAAGGTGATGTGTCAGTTTACTGTGTGAATGCTGCCGGCAGGTGCGCCAAGCGCTGGTGCCCAGCCCCTGAATGATGTCTGCCCCAGGGACCAGTGCAAGCACGAAGCCAGAGCAAAGGGATGTGAGCAGCGTGTGTGTGTGGGGGGGGGGGGCCTGCGGGCTCTCATGGCGCATCTGGTGGAACCGAGCCACGGAAGGCTGTGGCTGCCCCCACGTCCTGCAGGTCACAGCCCTGGGAACAAAACGCTGTGTCCTCAGCCGAGGCGTCCTCACCCCTGGGCAGTGTCGGGCATGCCTTGCTTGGGTTGGTGTCTCTGGCTGTCGTTTTAGGCCTCAGACCTTGATGAACTCTTGACAGCCCAGTTCTAACCTCGCATGTGCTAATATGTTCACTCTGGTCACCCCCAAGTCTTGACCTGGTCCATCAGCCAGGGAACTGGCAGGAAGCACACAGACCACTCACAAGGGTGAAGGGGCTATCCTGGGGCCGACCCCGGCGTGGCTAGGTGGAGGTCACTCGATGGAGTGGGGGGCTTTGATAGGCGAGCGCAGCCACAGCCAGTGACTGGGCAGGGAGACAGCTGTGGTCCGCTGACACCTCCCATCGCTCAGATACACCCCAAGTGATGGAGCAGGGGAACCCGTCCACGCCGGGCCTAGAAACCTGCCTCCTGTGGCCCGAGGCAGGGCAGGAAGGGCTGGCCAGGGACTCCGCAGTGGCCGGTGGTGCAGAGGCAGCCTCCCCGAGGGGTGGTTCTTGCTCTTTATGGTAGCATGTGAGTCTCTGCTGGCTGGTGGGTCTCAGTGTATAGCTTTCAAATGTCAGAGGTCAGTCACTGCTGTTTCCAAAGCACGTCCTGCACAGGCCAGCTCAGTCCAGGCAGCGGGCTGTTGGGCTGGGCCATGGCCCGCACCCCTCTCGCTTCTCCGGGACTTCAGAACCTCCTCCTCCAACTGGGGTCGCTCACGCCCGACTCCCCCCACCCTAGTTTGCCTGTCATTGTCTTACCGGGTTTCCCTTTGTCCCCGGCTGCTGGGGACCTAAAGCCAGTTCTGCAGCTCCTCCTTGTCAAGGCGTATGCTTTGTGGCATGCATTTGTAGCTTCTCCCTGGCTCCACTGTATTTTCTTTCCATTGTTTTTCTTTTATTCCTTCTTCCAATCTACACACACACTTCTCATATGGAAGTGCAAGGACATCTTCTCCACCTTGGCTTTATTGACACTGTGGGCCAGAGAGTTCTTTGTTGTGAATAGGGGACAAGGTGTCTTTATTCCCAGTGTGTTAACTGCGGGGGTGTCCTGTGCATTGTAGGATGTTCAGCACCTTTGCCCTCTACCCACTAGCTACCTGCACCCCCTCCACCCCATATCAATACCAGCACCTCCTGGGGGATATGTTGGGCAAAGGAGGGAAATCTGGGACACAGCTAATCTGTAACTGAGGAATGTCTCAAGTGTCATCTCAGGCCAAGGAGATCGATACAGGTTCACAATTAAACAGTCCCTTTCCCATATTCTGTTTTATTTAGCTGAACTTTCCTCTAAGCCCTGATCATTGGGGTTGTGGTTCTTCTTACACATTTAACTACATTCTCAAACTTTATTCCATCATCAGATACTTTAACCAAAACACCCCGAAACTTAGTGGCTTAAAACAACAATCATTTATTATGTCGTGATTCTGAGCTGATGGGCTTGGCTGGGCTGGAGTCCCGCGTGAGCTCGGCCAAACGAGCACAGCCCAGAGGGCTCGCGCCCACGCCACGTGTGACGCTGACCACGGCTGGTTGCTCTCTTGGGTGTCATGGGCGTCCGTGGGAGAGGCGGTGGGCGGTCCCTCGCTGGGCCTCTCACTGCGTGGTGGCAGTTTCTGAGGGGGGGTTCCAAGACAGATGAGGTGTTTCAGGAAAGACGTGGGAGACGCCAATCTCCTGAAAGGCCAGACCCAGAACGGCCAGAGCATCCCTTCTGCCGTCCTCTTGTCTCCACAGTCACAGGCTGGACCCACTCGAGGGATGGCGATCAGACTCCCTCCCTCGATGGCACAGGGACAGAATCTTGAGGCCACCTGTAGGCCACTGGGGCTCCAGCTGACTCTGAAGTATCTCCCTCCTTGGGCCCTCAGTTGAGCCACTTTGGTGGTTGTTAAATCTGGTGTCTGAGCAGCACGTCGGTCCCACTGAGCTCTTCTGCTCCGACGCTGTCCCTGCCTTTCCTTTTTCTGCTGCTTAAAAAAAAATCTTAGACTGTGGACATCATCTCAAGCCTGAGGCTACATTCCCTTCACCTTGTCTGTTTTTTTGTTTAGGTGTCAGGCAAACATAATGGCCAGTTCGCCCATGTGCTCCTTTTCGTGTTCAAATAAAATACGTTCTCTTTGTACAAAAACCTTCCGACCTGGGGAAAGGGGTCATCCCTATTACTTTTGAAGGGAGATGTGTGTGTCCATTGGCAGTTTTGTTTTTCAAGTTAGTGAGACTGACTCTTATTTTATCTTCACGCCCCCCCCCCATTTAAAGCTCATTTTTATCCTCCCATCCCCAATTTTGTTGATTAAATTAGTGAATGAACATTTAAAGACAAAGGGAGCCAAGGCCACTGGAGTTGGACTGAGCTCTCTAGAATTAGCCTGTGAAAACCACCCCATGATGTAGACACCTCTGCACCATCCCTCAGCCCACGGGATAAAGTCCAAACTCTAGGCAACTGGGTGGGGCCCTTCCCGTTCTGACTTGGTTTTATTTCACTGTCTAGTTTCATTTTTCTCCCTGGCCTTATGACACACCACGAGTTCTCCCTGGGGACCTCTCCAGTGTGGCCTAAAGACCATCTGTGTCACTGCTGAAACTGCAGATCCTTGGGTCCCAACCAGACCTACTAAGTCAGACTCTGGCAGGGCCCAGGAGCCTGCATTTCACAAGTGTCCCAGGGGCCCTTAGGTATTGAATATATTAACATTTGAGAATCCCTCCTAACTCTCAGTACCTTGGTATTGTAAGGCTTTTCACACTATGACACATCAGGTAGAAAATATCACCACCATCATCCAGGGGTGTCCAGATCACAGCCCACAGGCCGCACACAGCCCAGGATGGCTGTGAATGTGGCCCAACACAAAATTGTAAATTTACTTAAAACATTATATTTTTGTGATTATGTGTCACAATGTACTTAATGTGTGGGCCAAGACAACTCTTCTTCCAGTGTGGCACTGAGATACCAAAAGGTTGGACACCCCAGACTCCTCCCAAAGAGGAGGGTCTGTTCTTCTGGAAGAAACAGCCCACCGGCAGGTGGAAGGAGAATGAAGCCTCAGGAGCTGACTGTGTATAAGGGCCCCAGCCCTTTCAGGGCCTGCGCCGGGCTGCCCTCCCCTCCTACCTCACTGAGTATCTGTCTGCACCCCACCATGAACGCAGGCGGCCTGCAATGCCACCGTTGTTCCCTCTGGACTGCTGGACCCCATTCCTTCCACTTAAGTTCCAATGCAGACATCACCTCCCGCCTGGCCTGAGGTCATAGGGACACCCACTGGTTGCACCCCCATACAATTTCACTCATGTCATTTTCTTGTGGATTTTGGATGTAACTCAAATGTCCCCAAGTGTGGGAGCCTGTGAGTGCAAACACAGCCACTTTCGTGATAACACAGGACTCTCATCCTGGTCTCCTTCGCTGCCCCCCCCGCCCCCCACAACCCCCCTTCCTGGAGCTCTTGTGTTCAGTACCAAGTCCCAACTCTCTGAAGCTGCTGCTGTTCAGCCACCAGTTCCCACCGCCCCTCCCCCGTCTCTTTCTCCCCCCCTAAACTCCAAAGCCAAGGGCCAAATTCCTTCGTAAAGCCCTGCGGACCCTAGTCAGGCTAGTGGCTGAGTCACCGAGTGGCCGCATCTTGTCCAGATGGATGGACAAGCATAGACTTTGCCACGGGCGCATCTCTCCGTAGAGACGACGCTTAGAACTGCAGAAGTGCTGCGTGGCTCCGGAACGTAACTTTAAAACTGCCGCCGAGTGAAGGCCAGAATAAGCGGCCGTAGACGAAGGCCGAGCAGGCGCTGGCTTGGGCTCCAGGGTCCGGAAAGCCGCAGCGGAGGGGACCCTGTGTCTGGGCGAGGGGCGCGGTGCTGCGGCATGCTGCCCAGGCGCCGGGCGCAGGGACGCTCTCCCACCTGCGGGTGGCAGTTCTCCGCGAACCTGGGCGCCCCGCCCCCGCCTCGGGGACAACGCCGGGCCGCCGGCCTCCTCCTTCCCGCCCCCAGCAGGGAAGGAGGCGTCCTCGCGTGGCCGGAGCTTCCAGCAGCCGACTGAGCGGACCCTGTCGCCGCCTCCCGAGTTCTACTCCGACCCCGTGGCGCGCGTCCCCTCCCCGCGAGCACGGCGCGAGCGTCAGTCTGCGCAGCCACAGCCACCCGGACCCTGGCGAGAATCCCTCCGCTAGGCGCTCCGCGGCTGCGGGGCGGGGCGAGGTCGCGGGAGGCGGCCTGGAGGCGGGGCCTCGGCGCCCCGGGAAGGGCGGGCCGGGGTCTCGCGAGGAGGGCCTGGGGGCGGGGCCTCGGGAAGTGGGTGGGGCCCGGCGCCGGGAGGTGGCGGCGGCCGCGGGGGCTGAGGGGCGGGGAGCGGAGCGGAGGGGAGGGAGCGGGCGGCCGGCCTCCGGGAGGCGGTGAGTCACCTGACCGCTGCCCGCCCGGCTCGCTGGCTGCAGTCGGTCGGGCCGCGCCGCGCCTCGGCTCTGGTGAGTGGCTCGGCCGTCCCGCGCCCCTTCCCGGAGGGTCCCGGCGGCGGCGCGCGGTGGGGGCTGCAGGCCTGTGCCGGGCGGCGCGGGGCGGCGCGGGGCGGCTGCCTGCTGGGCGGGGAGCGCGTCGCCTGGCCGTGGGGGTGGTGGCGGCCCCGGTTCCTGGAAGTGGCAGTGTCCGCCGGAAGGTGCGACTCGCCGGCCTGAGGTCGTTGACCGGCCCGCGCCGTTCTTCTCCCGGGTCGGGCTGGGCGGTTACGGGCCGGAGCCTGCGGTTTGGGGCGCCGCCGCCCAGCCCGCCTGCGGGGCACCGGGCCCGGCCGGGCCGCGGGGATTCCGAACAGCGCCCGCGGCCGGCCGGCTCCGCGCGGTCCTCCTGCCCCTCCCGGCCCCGCCGCGCGGTGTGTGCGGCGCGGGGCGGCGGCGGGAGCGTCTCGCGGGCCGGGCTCCGCCGGGACGCGCCGGCAGAGGTGCGGGCGCGCGGGGTGGGGCGGACACCTCGCGAGCCGTGGCTGGCGCGGCCCCGTGACGCTTCCTTGTCGCTGGGTGCAGCCGTGCGGGGAGCCTGGTGCGGGGGCTCGGGCGGACCGGGCGCAGGGACTGGGACAAGGAACAAAGACTCTTTGTGCGGAAGCTGACGTTCGAGAAGGGTGTCGGGCCGGGACTGGGACCCGCGGGGCCGCGTGCGGGGACCCGCTTGCGGGGCCGGTGCGCGGCTCTCCCCGGCCCCTGCTGCCTCCCGAGGGTCTGCTCGCGCGCCGGGAGGAGCGGCAGCGGCGCGCGCGGCGGGCGCCGGGGCGCGTCCCGGGGTCTCGCGGGAGCCGGCGGCGGCCTGCCGGCTTCCTGCGGGGCCGGGGCCGGGGCCGGGGCCGGCGCCGGCCGGAGGCACCTCTGCCTCGGATGGCAGAGCCCTCGGCGGAGAGACTCGCGGTGACTCCGCCTCGCGTCGGATGGTCTTGGTTTCGGGGTCGCATCGCGTGGTGTGTTGTTGCTGTTCCTCACCTCGGGCTGTGGCCGCGGTTCGCCGCGGTGCACTCTGTAGGTTGGGCAACAAGGTAGCATGACTCGTTGAAAAAGTTGGGCTGCTGAGTCATTTGTCCCAGCCCGCGAGGGGACTGGGAACAGCTGGTGCGGGCCCTCGGTCCGGGCCTGCGCTGCGAAGGGACCCACCTCCAGGGGCGGAAGGGGGCCCGGCCGAGTGTCCGTCTGACGCAGGCAGCCGTGGGTGAAGGGCAGGGTCGCCCGGGGGAGGCGGCCAGGTAGCGCCCAGGTGGCGTGTGCGCCCCGGGCAGGTGCGGCCCGGCTGAAGGCGTGTTGGTGGCGGCGTCGCTCCCGGGGAGCGCCACCGAGAGCGGTGTTGTTGCAGCGTCTCTTCTCATCTGGGCTTGTTTTTTTGTTTCTCTGTGTTTTTTTTTTTGTTGTTGTTGTTGTGTGGCTTATCCATTTCGAAAAGTGAACTTCAGTTGTTCTTCGTAAGGATTCTTCGTGAGACCGCGGGAGACTTCCCCTTGCTGCTCGGCCCCGCTGCCCATGCGCACTCGAGCGGGTCCTGGTGGCAGGTCCGAGGTGGGGCGGGGAGGGGGGGGTCGTGTGGGCGCAGGTACCAGGTCTCCTTGGGTCCAGCCAAGGAAGAGCTTCTGGCGAAAAGCAAACCCGTATCTATTCCTCGTCTCAGTTATGGTGCGAGTGTCTTTCCATCTGTGGCCATTGCTTTGTGCTGTGAAATAGGACCGCTGCCTACCGGCCCGTTGCTGACAAAGTTCAGGAACGGGAAATGGGGGTGGCATCTGGCCCTCACCTGTGGTCAAAAGGATGACGCGGTAGTTCTTTGGTGGTAGTTTATTTAACACATTTGTATTTGAAAAAAATGGTTAGGGAAGTGTTGCTGTTCTAAGTTTGGGACTAGAAGAGATTGGAAGTCTCATTTTTTAATCAGGGTCTCTAAGGTGGGGTGCAAAGTTACCCATTTGGAAGAAAATGTGAAAACATTGATTTTTAAAATTTAACTTGTATGTACAGTAAGAAAGACATTAACTTCAATCACTGTTAACAGCAGTACATGCATGTAACGTGGGTGCATGACCCTTGTCTTCCGGGCACACGGACAGTTTACTGACCACTGCCAGTCACAGAACAGGTGGCGCGCTGTTTCAGAAAAGCCCCTGGTTTCCCGATTCGTTCAAAATGTTCTTAATTTTCACCTAATTTTTGTTTCATGTGTAGTCGTATTCTTTTTTATGCTTTAAAGATTAGAAGCTTGAGTGTAAATTTCTTATTGTATTGTTGATGTGGGGAATGGAAGCACCAAAAAGATAGATTTGCCCATTACATTGAATACAAAATACATAGTGTATTTTGAATTTGGAGGCAAACCAGGTGGTTGGTTTGTTTAAGGACGTGTAGGAACACATGAAAGGATGCAGTGGGCACACCTGAAGATGCCCGCACGTTGGAGTGTGCTTTCGGTATGAAAGTCTTTTAAAATTGCCCTGATTGTACGTCTGCCTCTTTCGGGCCGAGTGCACACCCTCCAGCAGTGATTAATACGAACAAGTTGAGCAAATCACTTGGCAAGGGGCATTTCCCTTCCCAGGAGAATGAATGTGCTGTAGTCAGAACATCGGCCTTTTGGGCAGCGGGGGTGTGGGGGTGATTAGTACCTGGGGCTCCGCGCAGCCTCCTGGCCGGGCGCCAGCTCCCGGTGCCTGGTCTGGGAGACGGGAAGCTCAGAGTGAGGCGTGCTGAGCCTGTTCGAGTGCCCGGTGGTCAGAGTCTCCCCACACACAGTGCTGATTCAGGGCGTTCGGGAATCTTCTCCTGTAGTCTCCTGACTAATACTCTGGTGGGGGGGCCGGGGGGATTGCTTTAGCCCTACCACTTGCATTTCCTGAGGGCTCTGCTAGACGGAGGGTGTGTTTTATGAGGTGCAGTCGATGATTTATGAAACTGTTTTGATTTACAAAATGTGCCGAATAAAGTAATCCACCGGAACCCAGGATACGGTAATTTGAGCACCATTTGCCAAACCCGGGACCCTTGGAGAGAGCAGGTACTGCGGGACTGCAGACGAAATACAGACCCGCACGGTGGGCAGGCACGCAGTGAGCAGAGTGGCTGCGCGGGGTGGGAGGTTGCAGCCAGACTGGCTGAGGGCAGGTTCCGGCTCGGTCAGCAGCTTTGGAGCCCTGGGCAAGCTGCTTCGCCTGCTTGTGCCTCATCTGGAAAGTGGGGATGATGATAACAGAGTTTGCACCATAGAGATTGCTTGCAAATAAAATGCATTGTTACGGGTTACGTGGTTAGGGCACCCATACACGTCAGGTGTTGTTACCTGTCGCTCCAAATCCCACACGGGTTTGGTGGCACAGCCAGGCTCTGCAGGCTCCTCGTGCTGAAGGATGAGGGGGGCTGGGAGGTGGAGAGAGCGGGTGGTGAGCTGCTGGGGAGACCGCTCAGGTGCAGGGTCCAAGTCAGACGGCCGAGCTCCTGGGGCCGGGAGGACTCGGGCAGCCACAGCCACGTGCGTTGGAGGCGGTCAGCACCAGTTCGCTGGGACTGGCTTTTGGAGGAAAAACACACGTGCCGTCTGCCTTTGGTCCACTCCCCACACGAAGGTCCAGGACGCCGTGGCCGGGCAGGCTCGCTCGCGCCCCACTGCCTCTCCCAGCGGGACAGGCCTCACTCCTGGGCGGTTTGCCGGGAGCGTCTGCGCTGTGAGTGCGCCTGCCGGTTACCTCTGAGTTTGCCTTCTCTCTGCGCGATGTGTCTGTGCTAACGGAGGACAGTCCTCCGTGGTCAGAGTTCCTCCTGTGGCTTCTCGCGCCTGTCGGTGGTTCAGAAAGGTTGTGTCCGACGTTTTGGCCGCCCTGCCTCTGAGCGGGTGGGCTCCTCGCCCTGAGCGGGTCCTCCGCCGAGGCTCCCGGGGCGCAGTCCACGGGCCTCGGTGGTAGTGTGTTCCGGAAGGCGTTGACCGCTGCACTGGTTGTGCAGAGTGGGTTCTCTTTTGTTCTGTGCTTTTGAAACTTCAGAAGTTTTAAAAGCGAAGGAGAGAACATTATGTGTTGTATCTATTAAGCAGTGTTAAATGTGTACTGAGTTGAAACTCTCGATCAGTTAGAATTCTGCTTTCTGTTTTCGTCATTGGTGTAAATATGGAGGAAGCAGCTGAATTTAAAGCATCTCCTTTTAGTTCATCTCCTGAGATGGAAAGAGAATTTGTTTCGTGACTTTTTTTTTAACCTGTAAGTGACCTGGAATCGAATCAAACAAAATGTGACTTGGATTGTCCGGGTGTTAAACCTCTTGTGCGTCTAATACTTTTCCTTGAGTGTCATCGCTCCTTAGAACAGGCCTCATTTTGTGTGGGCCAGGGGCAGTTTGGAGAACGTTGACGGGATAGTAGAAACTGCCGCTGAGCGAAGACGAGGGAGGAGCAGAGACTCAGCGGCAGCCGCGTCCTGGCCGCCGCCCCTTCCTCAGCACGGGCGCCTTCCGGAAGGCGTTGCCCTGATGCAGCCGAAGCTGCGCGCAAGTCACGCTCTTCTAAAAATAAACTTAAATCGTTTTCTTAAGGCCTCAGGGAACTCACTCAAAAGAATTTTTCATAATAAATATTCCCACCTTGTGTCTGATAAAGTTATTTGTACTTGTGTATTTGTCATTTCTTACACTCGGTCAGTTATAGTGGGTAGTTTCACTCCACTTCCCTGCCCCCTGTTAAAGTGGAGTTACACTAAAAAATGTTTTATACAGGGGCCATTTTTTCAGTTCCTTTTCACACTGTCCCCCTTCCAAGATTTCAGACTGAACAGTAGAGTTAAGGAAACATCCTCTCTCTGTCCCCGTGTTTTTCTCACTGATTTCTTTATTTCTTCTTTCTGTTGACTTGTCTCCATCATCACCCACTGGTGTGGCTCAGTGGGTTGAGCACCAGCCTGTGAACCAAAGGGTTGCCAGTTCGATCCCCAGTCAGGGCACATGCCTGGGTGGGTCCCCAGTAGGGGATGAGCGAGAGGCAACCACACATGGATGTTTCTCTCTCTCTTTCTCCTTCCCTTCTCTCTAAAAATAAAAAAACACAATTTTTCAAAATTAAAAAAAAAGATGTATTGGTTTTTAAATAAATTTATTAGGTTGTAATTTTTGGGAGTCATTTTATAATAAGCGTGTTTTTTTGTTTTGGTAAGATCAGTAATTTCATTACTGTGTATTTTGCACTTAAATATTATTTTAAAAATGTGAAGTGCTTATTAAATCTTGGCCCAGGAGACTTTTCATTTCCAAGGCACCTAAGATCTGTTAACTCTGTTTTTCTGACAAGTGTTCCCAGCATGGCTCAGGACTCTCCTCACGGTAGAATTTATCACTTAAATTAGGAGGAGAAATAAGTAAAAGAGCAGTTTTTAAAAGAAAAATTATTTATTTTTAGGCAGAGGGAAAGGGAGGGAGAAAGGGAGAGAAACATTATTGTGTGGTTGCCTCTCTTGCGCCCCCTACTGGGGACCTGACCATGTGCCCTGACTGGGAATCAAACTGGTGACCCTTTGGTTTGCAGACCGGCACTCAGTCCACTGAGCCACACCAGTCCGAGTGAGCCATTGGCCCTGTTAATCACTTTTTTTTTTTACATTGACAAAAGACTTCTGAAGTAGAAAAGCATTTTTGCCCAGATGACTTAGTGTTGCACCTGTCACCCTGAGAAGTCAGAGGAAACACCTTTTGGGAGTGAGCCTGCAGGTACTGTTGTTTTGCCTACTTCGTTGGCTCTTTGTGGTAGAGGACTGCCACAGCACTATTAAAACTAGATACATTTTTTCACTTAAAAAAATGTGTCTTGCCTCTGAGGGCATGCCTGTGGTTCTGGCCTATCTTCTTGTCTGTTTCTGACAGCAGGAGTCTGGGGACCCTTCCCTCCCTGGAGCAGGTGGGGGGCTGTGCTCAGGGGCCGGGGTGGGGGCCAGGGAACTCCAGGTCAGCCCCCTCTCTGGCACTCCGCCGCAGGTGGCAGTGTGGCACGTGCTCCAGCTTCTGTTTGTGTGGGCGCTGGGCAGCTCTGATCCCGGGAGGAAGTACAGAGTGATTGTGCTTCTGAGTTTCAAGGCACTTGGGTCTCTTCTTCCTGTGCCTGCCGCGCCCCCCCGCAAACTCCTCACAGACACAGGCAGCCTTCGGAGCACGAAGATAGCAGGCTTGCTGACTTTGTTTCAGCATGCGCGGTATGCTTGCATGTCTGGTATTCAGTTCACACTTGATTTATGAGACAAGCATGTATCCCTCTATGTGCCAGGAACTTCTGTAGGTAGTGGCAGTGCTCAACTTCTCAGAAGTTACAGTCTGATGCAAGCCATCCCTCTCGCGTGTGAGGTGTGCCTTGGAACCGTAGACGGTGAAATCGGGAAAGCCCCAGGAATGTCCGAGGTAAATGAGTAGTTGAGTCGGGGAGGCCGCTTGTTCTGACCACCCTTTTGGGGGGCTTAGCAACGGAGGGGAGTAGAGAAGGGGGAGAGGCTGGTTGGGGGAGGTCGGGTCAGGTGGGCGTGGGTCTGTGCATGCAGCTGTTTGAAAACCAGGTCAGTGGGAGAAGCTTGGAGACGCAGGGCCCGTCGTTAGTTTGTCTTACGATGACCGTGACGACTGCCGAGAGTCCAAGTATCGCCGGTGAGTGTGGCCAGGTTTCTCAGGAGACGACTGTTTTTCCCCGGGTTTCTCTGGGTCGGTGAGGCTTTCCCTGGAGCCTCACTGTGGAGCCGCCCTGACCCAGGCCTCTCTGGAGGCTTGCAGGCCGACCTGGCACTCGGGCCCGGGCCTGATGCCGCCCGTGTCAGCGGGGGTGGTGCCGGACGGGCACAGGTGGGTGGCCATTCCTCCCGCGTCGGGACTGGGTCTGCCCCCCCGGAAACACGCGGCCTCGGGCGGGAGCAGATCTGAGCGCGCACTCGGGCGGTCGGTCGCGGGGGAACACGGGGGCACGTGGGGGCGAGCAGCGCCTCCCGCTGCGCACACTGCGGGGGAGGGGAGTCGGGGTCTCGGGCGGCTCCTTTCCCTTCTGTCTCACTGCGTTTCCTCCAGTGACCACGTGTTAACTTCAACGTCAGACCAGTCACAGGAATGTTTTATTTAGAACTTCCTTGAAAATGGAAAATGCCCACTGTCTCCAAGAAATGACATATGGAAGGGAGATGTTTCTTTGGCTGTTCTAAACAGTTGTGAAGTTCTTTGCCATTCTCTTAACACCACTGTCAGGGAAAGGAGAAGAGATAACGTCTCACTGCGTCTGATTGTGCGACACACCCACAGACCTGCTCTGAGTGTGCAGGGCAGGCCACCCGTCCCGCCTGTGGCTCCCACGGAATCGGGGTACAGACAGGGACACCGCTGCCTCTGCACACACACTGCCCTCCCGGGAGGGAAGGCGGTCTTGAGTTCAGCCGGCTGCCGCTCGTTTCTGTGGACGGTGTCCTGGGGGCGCCCCCAGACTGCGAGGGCGCCCTGGCGTGGTCAGAAGACATCCGTGTGCGGTTCCGGTTCCTCCCGAGTCCCAGGCTTTGGTGCCTTGTGTGTCACGTGACAGGCGAACAGGTGACGTAAACATGCCGACCGTGTTGCAAGCTCATGGAGCAGAAGTTACTTGCTGATGCACTTTTCTCCGTGATAGTAGCTGCCGAGGCTGTGCCGCCTGGTTCGGGGGGGCTTCTGGAGTGGCGCTGCTCCTTAAGGTGGAGTTTAGAAGAGACTCGAAATGTGGCCAAAGCTACTTCTGTCTCCAACAGAAATATAATTAGTTGTCCCTCAGATAGTCTCTGAACCAGCAAACATTTCAGTTTTTCGTTTAACAGGCCTCCAATTACTATTTGACTGAGTTCTGCAGGTACTGTGTTTTGGAAAGCGACCGTGTTGAGGGCTTAGGTGGAAAGTCTGCAGCTTGGAAACCCCCGTGTTAGAGATGGCAGTTTGACTCCCCAGTTAACGTAACTCACAGCGAGCGGACTTAAACATGTTGGTTTCAGCTGTGTACACTGAGACATTGTAGCACCATGGTGGCTGTCAAGGATTAGTGGATTAGGTTTTTTAAAATAAATCATTTTAATTTAATCCTTCTACTTCAGAAGTTTCACATCTATGATTCATGCAGTGTTCTAGTTGCTCCCCTGCGACTGCTGCCTTGTTAAAATTATTACCTAACTTTTCTTTTGCTCTTGACCCTTTCTTGTGACTCAGATGGGTTATGAGTTGGAGTGAGGTGGTGTTTAAGGAACGGCTGGGAATTCGAAGGTCACTTTTTTGGTGGTTGTTTTTTCTTGTTGTTGTTGTGGTTTTCCCCAGTTACTTTGCATACTGTATGTGTCAGGTCTTAGAGGCTCATTCTGACCCTGATCTTGTTTTAGGGCTTTTGCTCCCACTACGTAATCAGAAATAAATAATTTGGATTATGGTTATAATTTGTATAGTTTGAAAACAAAACAACATGAAGAACCTCTGATATTTCCGTTTGGGTGCAGGACACGGACACTCAGGGCTCTGTGTGGAAAGTCACCTTTGATGACGTCTCTCCTAGCATTCTGTCCTTGAACTTTCCACGTGTTGTCGGGGGCAGCTGTAGGATTTGATCTAAGTTCAGCACAGCTTAGCGTTAGGTTCCCCTTAGCACTCTATGAGATTGTTTAATCCTAATCCAAGGAGTGTTAATAAGAAATTCATTAACCAAATATTGAGTAATAAGGGAACATTTGCTATTTCTTAAATATTGGGCTGGCCAAAAAGGTCATTTGTTTTTCTCTGTACGATGGCTCTAGTGGTGCTTAGCTTTTAATGTCACGTGAAACAGTGTTGTTAGATTTGTTGTGACAGCTGTCATATCAGTGCGCATTAAAAAAAGTTATCAGAATTGGTGAACTTTTGTGCAGCCATTTTAATATTGAGGATGGAAGAAGACATACAACATTTTATTTGTATTACACTTTATTATTTCAAGGAAGGTAAAAACGCATCTGAAACGTAAGAAAAGATTTGTGCAGTGTGTGGAGAAGGTGCCGTGACTGATCAAACATGTCAGACGGGGTTTACGAAGTTTCCTGGGACTATTTTGGCCAAATAAATCTTTGCTGTGGGGCCGTCTGTGCACTGGAAGATGTTTAGCAGCCCCCTGGCCTCTGCCCACGAGAAGCCCACAGCGGGAGAGAGCTGACGTGCTCAGAGTGGCCAGATCAGTGAGGTTATTGGTGAAAATGAAAGTGTGTCTTTTACTTTACTGAAAAAACTAAATGGATGTTTCGGCCAACGCAATAATACCCTTTTAGTCTGTTTGACGTTGTTCTCATCACCAACGGGACACTCACGGCATTCCCCTGTACTCCTTGTTTTCCCACCTGTCTTCGTCCCTCCCTCCCCCTTCCCGCACACACACACACACACACACACACACACACACATAGCACACGTGGCCCTTTGGTCACAGAACGTGGATTGAATGTCCTCTTTGGACCTGGAGGCAGAAGAACTTGTCATCCTGCTGAGCTGCCGACCCTTCAGGGGCCCCCGCCCCTTCACCTGCAGTGGCACTGTCACGGTGGGCCACGCGGGCACAGTGTGCTCTTTCAGCTGGAAACGCTTTAGCCTGTGAAGTTGGCGGTTTTCTCGAGCAGACTTGGCCAGTTTTAACATTTTCTGTTTACTTTGTTGAGATCTTAGGCTTACTGAATTTTTATTTTAATTTCCTTTTTAAAAAGATTTCATTTATTTTTAGAGAGAGGGAGAAAAAGATGGAGAGGAAACTCAGTCAGTTGCCTCTCGCATGCGCCTGTCCGGGGACTGAACCTGCAACCCAGGCCTGTGCCCAGACCGACACTGAACCAGCGACCTTCACCTGGTGGAACCACGCCCCAGGAGCTGAGTAGCCACATCAGTCAGGGTGACTTCTTATTTTTAAAAGTTTAGGAATCTCTGCATTTTGTAACTTAATTTGTGGGTTTGTAGAACCTTTTAAAAAGGCAGTTTTCTTTCGGTCACTCACATCGCAAAGGTGACAGTCATGATAAAAGATGGATCTGTGCGAAGCTCGGGGCTGCGAGGTGTGCCGGACCCCCCGGGCCGTGGAGCAGGTGTCGGCGCCCTGCCGGGGGCACTGGGGTTCGACGTCCGCCACCTCACGGGGGCCACGCAGCGCTCATCTGTCACGCCGTGTGTCCCCGTGGCGTCCCGTGGCAGTGCTAACACAACCTGGAGTTGATTGTCTTTTGCACCTCATGGTTCTGTGTATTTTTTTCACACTCGACCCTTTCCAAAGGGCTTCCTGAGACCGGGGGCTGGGGGCACCCGCCTGTCCCCGCCGCACCTCGCCCTCCTCCCTTCGCCGTCCGCGGGGACCCCGTTTCCAAGCCGTGCCCTGCCGTTCGCGCTCCTGTCCCCATCGCCGTGAGGGCGTCCTGGTGGGGGCTGTGGTGCCCGGCGTTGCCGTGAGTGTCTGCGCAGCGGCGAGCCCGCGTCTGCTGGCGGCTGGAGGACGCAGTCGGAGGACGCGTCTCGGGAGCCCTCGGGCGGGGGAGCGAACGTGGACTGCGTCGTTAACGGGGGCACGCTGCTTGCGTGTAGTTGTTGCCTGTTTTATGTTTTTGGTTATAGTAGGTGTTCGCGATTGAGAATCTAAATGCAGAAACAAACAAAACTTACCCAGGGGTAACCACTGTTAACACTTGGACACACATCCGAGCTAAAGGGGGAGGAACTCGGGTTTCTGCACACGCCAACTGTGAGGTGCCGTCCATCGGCAGACGCACAAGTGGGCACTTGTGCGTGTGAGTGTGCACTTGGGCACGTGAAGCTGCGATTAGACCCAGTTGGGGCGTGAGCGTGCCCCGCAGTCCGTGAGCGAGCGTGTCTTCGTCGTGGGGCCGGGGGAGGTCACGCAGGACCTGTGTGCCCACAGGAGGGGGCAGGCCAGGGCTCGGCCCTGGGCCCGCCAGCGTGCGCAGCAGGACCACGGGAGAGCCGGGCCGTCGGAGGGTGCGGAGGCCTGGATGCCGACTGCGGGAGGGACCCCGAGGGCCTGAGCCGCCTGCGGAGCGTTGCTGGGAGGCTGTGCGAGGAGACCGGGGTCACGGAGCCTCACAGAGGGTGTTCCTGGCGTGGCCGTGGAGGGAGAAACCTGACTCTGGCGGGGCCACAGGACACTGGGAGGCCGGCGAGGGGGGGAAGGGGGGGAGGTGTGACCGTGAGCGGCCCTGTCGGCCGCTCGCTGAGGGGGAGCAGCGCCTTCCACTGTGGGCGGCAGCGGCTGGGCAGGGTCCAGACGCTGTACTTTAAGAGGAGAGTCGTAGCAGTGTGTTTTGTATGGTAATGGGAACAATGGAAATGCTGCATGTTCACTTTTTTCATGTCTTTTCCTGCGAGACTTGGGAGACATTTGTTCATTTTGCTGGTCTTCTGAGAGAACCGGCCCGTGGTCCAGTTCAGCAGTCCCACCAAAAGCAAACGCAGTTTGACGCCGTGAGTGGGTTCCTGTGGGGACCCACAGGAGGCTGCGGCCTCCATCAGGCCCCGGGAGGCAGGTCCTGGGGTCCTCCGTGTGGGCGCCGTCCAGGCCGGCGGTGCCGTGGGCGGTGCTGCTGCCGGGCACGAAGTCCTCCGTGGGGTCCCCTGCCTTCCCGCCCCCTGGCTTCTACGTCAGTATGCAAGGTTTCCGCTAAAGGCTGATTTTCTTCTTTTTACCAAATTCTTTTTCTATTTGTAGAATCTTCAAAAAGTTGCATTTAAGACTTGCAACCAAGTTATCAACAATGTAGACTTAATCGAGTTTTTACTTTTTTTGGTTTACCGTCTGTTTGTGTATCTTTTTAGTTTATGTTTTTAATGAAAATGGTACATGTTGTTTTTTAAAACATACAGAGATTTGTCGGAAAGAAGCCTCATCTGTTGCGCCCCATCCCACCTCTGATGCTGGTTCACGGTTAATGTTTATGTTTATCCATTTTGCTCTTTAATTCTTTAGGTGCTCACTTCTGTGTCTCTAAGACGTTTATGCCTGCGTGTTTATGAACCTCAGACGTTACCTGTTGGTTTCCTGTTACCGGGGTTGTTGATTTTTGTTGGCGTCTGCCGTCCCTCTCACCTGTACTTACGACTCTATTGCTTTTATTGTGTTACTTCTGTTCCTGGTTGCCTCTACAACTCGAGATTATTTTTTCAGCTGTCTCACTCGTCTAAGGAAGCACCTTTTTGACTTCGGAGAGTGTCAGTCACACAGACACACTGCTGCTGCAGACAGCGGCGGGGAGGGGGCGGCTGGGGGGAAAATGAAGCAGGGACCCGGCGCCACCTCTAACGGAGAGCTTCACGCAGGAGGCAGGAGGCTGGGAGCGGGAGGAAGTGGCGTCATGACTCAGCGGTCCTGAGCCCGGTCGGATAAGACGGTGGGGGTGGGGGGGGCAGCACGTCACCACGGGGACCGTGCAGGAGGAGGAGGGGAGTCCCCGAGGCTCTGGGCTGCGGGGCGGGGGTGTGTGTGGGTGGGTGGGGGGTTGGGGGGGGCCTCTGGAGCAGTTCCACTGACAAGACAGAGGCCTTCGCCGGCGGCGGGGAAACCCTCTGTGGCTGCGCACTGCCCTCAGGTCAGTGGGGGGGAAGGGGGGGGGCCTAGAAGCCGGCGACGTGTAGCGGCCCGGAGCCCCGCCGTCAGCGCACTCGGGTCTGCACAGCGCCCACCCGCGGCCCCCGCTCCCGCGGGTGACGCGGACTCACGAACAGGTTCACCGACAGCTTCACTTCCCTCTACGTGGGGCGTTCAGACACGCCCGGCACCTGCCTCCGGCTCTGTGTGTGCGTGTGCGTTTCGTGAGTAGACTCGCGCTCGCGTGCCCACCACACGCGTGTCTCCTGTGTCACGCGCCCGAACGCGTGTCCTGCGAGTGGGAGAGGAGCCGGGAACGAGCTCGGGCTGGCGGGGCCCTGACTCCGTCTCCTCCCGGAACAGCTCCCCCCTCTCCCTTTCCGTTCTCGGGGCGCACCTCCCAGCCGCCGTCGGCGTCACTTGCGTCGTGCCGAGGCTCCCACACACTCCGTTCTCCGGCAGCCGCCACGAAGCCTCGCAGGGCCTGTCTGGCCTGCAGACCGGCTGGCCGTGTCCGTGTGGCTCTGCGGGCGGTGCTGGGGCTTGGCAGCTGCGGGCGCGCTGCCCCCTCCCTCCCCGCGGCCTCCCCGGCTGCCCGTGCCCCTCAGAACCTTTCCTGGCGGGGAACGCAGGTGCCAGCCGATGGCTGGCGAGCACTCAGTACCTGCCGGCCAGTGTGCTTAGGACACTGCGCGTGTCACTGGGCTCCCCCGGCTGGGCCGGCGGGCATCGCGCCGTGCGGGCTGTGCCGTGCTGTCCGCGCGGGGACCCCCGGAGCCAGCCGCTGCTGCCCTCCTTGTGGGCTTGGGGTGGAGGGGTGGAGTCTGCGGTCCATCGCCGCTCCCTGGTGACCCCCGTCCTCTGAGGGGTGCCTGCGGCGAGTGCAGACCGGGTGGTGGAGGAATGAGGGGGCCCCTGGAGGAGGCTGAATTGGGGAATTTTCCTCCTTTTGGGGAATTTTTTGGGAACTTTTATTCTTTGCTTTTCCCTCCCCTCAGTTTCTTCTGGAAACTCTGCGTTAACCGGGACAGTAGCTTCAGCATGTCCCTCTCTGCTCGTCAGTTGCTCGTCCCAAAAAGCCTGCGGTCAGCATCATACTTGATGGTGACCCACTGAGCAGGGAGGGAGGCCAGGGCGCCCTCTGTCTCCACGGTCACCGGTGGGTCATTGTAACGGGGACAAAGGAAAGAAAGGAAGGTGGGACGACGCACAACTGTCTCTGTGTGCAGGTGACATGACTGCCCGCGTACATAGAAGACCCTAAGGAATCTCCGAAGCAACTATCAGAACTAATAGGCGAATGAAGTAAGCTTGCAAAATTCAAGGTTAACATTGAAAAAGCCAATTTTATGTTTAGCAGCAAAAAGCCAGAAAGCGAAGTTAAACAACTCTGTTTATAGTAACTACAAAAAAACATAAACTACTTGGCAATAGATTTAACGAAAGATGTGCCTGACCTCTCTTCGCTGGAGACACCGGGAGAGTTCTGAGAGAGGCGAGAGGAGACCCAGGGGAGCGGAGGGTGGGCCGTCCGCACGCGTCAGAAAACCGGTTGTCGGGTGTCCGTTCCCCCAGGTGGACATACGGAGTCACTGCGGTCCGAATCAAAGTTCTGCTGGCTCCTGAAACTCAGTGAGAAGAAGAAAACAGCCCAGTTAAAGGTGGACAGAAGACCTGAACGGACGGTGTTTCACGAAAGAGGACGTACAAACGGCCAAGAGACACACAGGCAGATGCTCCCACTGTCAGCCGTCGGGAGGTGCAGATGGGAACCGCAGGGAGGCCCCACGGCGCATGGTTAGGGCGGCCGGGAGTGCCGCCGGCAGTGCCGGGCCGTGGAACGAGGGGCAGCTGGGCTCCTGCGCTCTGCCGGAAGCAGCGTGGAACGGTGCCGTTGCTTTGGAAGACAGTTCAGCAACGTCTAAGAAGTTCGACGTAAACCTGCCATAGCACCTAGCTCTCCACTCCCAGGTGTTCGTCCCTTCTCCCGAGAGCAGGAAGTGCGTGTCCAGGCAGTTGTTCACCGAAGCTCTGTTACCATGGTCGCCGACTGGAGACAGTGCAGCCGCCCACCTTGATCACCGTCGTCCATCTGTCCGTCCGTCCGTCCGTGGTTAAGTGGGTCAACACACGGTGGGAGATCCGCCAGGAGAGAGTTGTCGAGCAGCGAGAAGAGACGGACAGTGTGGTCGTCACGGAGCTGCGGGGAGAGCCCGAGCCAGAGGACGCCCGTGTGGTCCCCAGGCAGTGCACGCCAGTGTGGGGCGGCGCCCGGCAGGCTGCTGGTCCCCGGGAGCCCGGGCCGCGGGGAGGGGGAGCGACCCCACGGGGCTGGCGGCGTTTGGAGGGGAGATGGAAATGTCTCTGTCTTGACCGTGCACGTATGCAGATGTCAGAGCTCACTGAGCTGTACACCTTAAATAATGGTTTGTTCTGTGCATTCATCACCTGGACGTGGATAAATGAAATAGTGATGCACGAGTGCATGGTAGAAATATGTACTCAGTCAACTAGCTCTATTGGCACGGGCCAGTCCCACTTGCTAGTTCACATTTTCTTGACATGGTCCTGTTCCGTGGCGATGCCACGGTCCTTCCAAGGATCAAGTTGCTCCTAAACATGTTAAGCAAATGAAAGACTTCATTGTTTTTCAAGTTCTTTGTACACTAGTAAGAAAATGTAACAGCGGCATCAGTGTTTCTGGTTTGGGTTCTGGAGCTTGGCTTTCCTGTGCTCCTTCTCCTCTTTCCCCCTTTCTTCCCCTCCAAGCCACTGTAAACTCACTGCCTAGGAATCTCGAGGTTGGATTCGTTGGCTTGGGAAGTGAAAACCTGCCTTTTGTCCCTGACCTCTCGGTGGGTGAGTCTGTGGCCTTCTTTAGACTCTGTAACCGTTGGGACTGCTCCCCTCTAAGTGTAGCTGCAGCTCTGTACTTTAAGATGTGGAATTACACCAAGCGAATGTAACAAAAGATCCGTGAATACGTAATTTTTAGTATTAGGAAGAGAAAGTGGAAAGAACCTAACTTTCCCCATACGGAACCTGACATGATGTTGCAGAATCACGAGCTGCAGGAAGTACAGGACCTCCCGCCCCCGCCGACTGGGGTGCCTGTGGCCGCAGCCCTGGCACCGAGCGCCGGCCCGCTGTCCCCCGTGTCACCGAGAAGGCGCCTCCCACCGGCGTGCCGTCTGCGGCGCCGCTGGGAGCCTGTCTGCTGCTCGGCTTGCGGGGGCTTCCGCGTTCTGTTTCCACTCAGCCTTCCTCGGCGGGCTCATCCGTGAGCCTTGTCTAGTCGTACTTGAGACTTTCCTGTGCGACCGAGGGAAACGGGTTTAGGAATGTGGTCACCCCATGCGGTGTTTAAACACGGGTGACGTTGAAGGTCTGCGGGGGCTTCAAGAAAACAGCGGGTCTCGGCCCCCGGGTCTCGGCCCCCGGGTCTCGGCCCTCGGGCTGCTCTTCCCGGCAGCTGAGCTGAGTCTTCGGGTGTCGGAAGGAGGCCGACTGACATGCCGTCTCTGATTTAAGTGCCCGCAGACTTTTTGATGTTACGGTTCTTTCAGAGTTGGGAATGATAACAAGAAAAGCCCTATTTTTACAGAAATTTTTTCCTGTGCACATCTCCACTTAAACTAAAGAAGTTCTTACAAGGGCCCTTAAAGGAAAGACGAAGGACCAGTGGTGTGCGCACGCAACGCCCGGGGTCTCTGCCTCCCCCCCGAGAGCGCGAGGATCAGGCTCGCTGGGCGTCTGAGGAGTACGTGCCCCCTGGGTACCTTGGGGGTCCTGCAGCTGGATCTGGCTGGGGGGTGTTGTGGGGGGCCCTGGCCTGCACTGGACTGGGGTACAAGGGAAGGGCGGCTTCTGGGTGCAGGGGCTGTGAGATCTGTTGTGAGGGTCCTTGGGGGTCTCCTTCGGCTCAAGGCATCACTTTTCCTTCCGGCATCTGTAGGCCCTGCTCTCCCTGAGCGCCGGGCCGCCCCTGCCGCGAGGCGCCTGCTCTGCTGCGCGCAGGGTGGGTGCTCGTGGGAAGCACAGGCGCCGCTGCCCAGCGGAGACGCGGAGTGTCGGGGTGAGAGTCTCGTCTTCTCGGTGAGTCTCCGGTGTGAGGCAGTTGGGGGGCAGTCTCCTCCGTGGAGACTCTGGAAGCACGGCCCCTGAGACGCGAGGCCGTCCATGCAGGTGGACTCGGCCCCCACACAGCTCCTGCCGAGTTCCCGCCGCGGAGGGTGCAGGCCGGGCTACATGACCGCACAGCCGCCGGAGGTTTTTGAAGTTGTTTTTTTAGGTTAAATGATCCGTGAAGTCTCTGACATGTGATGGAGTCACAGTATCATTTTTCATTTTCTTTATGATTTCGAAAGCACGAACCTCAAGTGGCTGCTGCATCAAAACGGGGGGTAGTTGAGCAGGAGAGCAGGGGTTATTTGTAGAGGGGGTTCGGGGAGCTTTGAAGTGTCTGTTCTTTGTCAGCATTACTGATCGGCAGTTTGCCGAGGTCAGCAAACCTTTGTTTTGAATTTTAACGATAGTCTGTATATTTCTGAGAATATAGAAAAAACCATGGGTAACAGAAGAACCCAAATGCGGTGTTAATCGGGGAACAGAGTCTGAGGTCTGGAAGGTCCCCTGGGGGAGCTGGATCTTACTTTGCGAGTCTGGGAAGTGGTGGACGGTGGCCCTGGTGGTGGAAGAAGGTGGCTCTGGTGGTGGACGGGTGTGTGCTGGTCTCACCTGTCTACGCACAGCTCGGTTGCACTGCTGGGTGAAAATGGATCAGTGACCACTCGAATGGCTCTCAGAATCGGGAAAAGTGAGTCTCAGAGGGACCCTCTGTGGTGCCCTGTGCCGGGGAGGCAGGGTCTCGGGGCCTCGCCTGCCCGAGGCGGCTGTGGTGGCCGTGCCCGCAGTTGCCACCTGGGGTCACTTGTCCTGCAGGGAGGGACACCTCCGGCTCCCAGAGGGCCGAGCAGGGGCTCCTGTCACTCGCTCCCTGCGGCCCTGGACAGGCTGCCCCTGGGCAGCGCGAGTGCCTGTCCCCGTGGCGCGTGCGTGGAAGTAGCGGCTGCGGTGTGTTCGAGGACGATGCACACGACCTGGGGTTTGGGTTCGCAGTGAAAACACTAAGTCACTCGTTCAGAAGCAGGTCCCTGCATGGGGCCAGGTGCTCCGTTACGGGCCTGTGGTTAGAGAGCGAGTCCGGCAAGGTTTTCACGTTCGAGCAGAGACCTCAGAGTTTTGAGGCATCAGCCAGCGGGAGAGTAGGAGCCGGGCAGAGGGTGCAGCCCGGGCCCTGCGGCTGGGGGGAGGCCGGTGTCTGTGGGGCAGGAGGGAGGAGGGTGGGGCTGGGGAAGAGCGAGGGAGGGAGGCAGGGACGCGAGAGAACGTTGGATTAGTAGGCGGGAAGTCTGACCACGCACACCTGAGGACCTGCCGAGGGTTGAAAACCGATCGTAAGGACTTTGGAAGACACTGTAGGATTTTGGGGAAGGGAGAATCCCTTGGACGTGGGAGAGTCGGTTGGAGGGATCGAGAGGGTGTGAGGGGAAGGGAGCTGTCCCTGTCGCTGGTAGCAGCGGGCGTTTACCCTTGGCTTGCCGTGGGCCGGACAGCGCAATGACCCCTCCCCAGCCCCGTCCCAGGTGGCCACACGGCAGCCCGGGGGGGCGCCCCCTGGCTCTGCTGCGGGCGAGCAGGCCCGGAGGGCAAGCAGCTTGCCTCGGGCCAGTGGTCAGTGGCCCCCGCAGGGCTGGGGTGAGCCGGACGGTGTGGGACCCCGAGCCCCGGGCCGCTCAGCTCACGCTCTCAGGTCCTTGAAACGGAGCGGGCCACCCCCGGGCACTCAAGAAGTGGAACGGACACCAGAGTGCTTGCACCGGGAGAGGTGAAATGCTGACGTGTGAGACTTGGTCCCACCTTCTATTTCACGTAACTGCGTTCGTGCACGCGTGAGCTTGGGAGCGGCCGCAGAGAGGGACCTGCGTGTCTGTCGACGAGCAGTGCTGGCGTGGACAGGCGGCGTGGACAGGCGGCGAGCGGGTCTCAGTGTGAAGGGTGGTGGCGGCCACCCGGGTGGCAGAGCGCACACGGGGCCCCGTGTGGGGAGGGTGCGCCTGGCGTGGGTGGGAGACCACGGTCCCGGCGCTCGCGCTCCCGGCCGGTGCAGGGCCTGCCGGGCCCCCCCCCACTCCCCGGCCCCTCCCGGCTGCAGCCGGTGGGACGTGGGGCTGGTGCGTCGCCAGACGTCTGTGTCTCACGGCCGGTCTGGGAGCTGGGGTCACTGCCTGCTGCTGAGGGACCGACGGCTTAGCTACGACTCCGTCGAACGCCTTGAGAATAAACACACGGGCGGAGTGGGGCTTGTGGGTGCGTTTCACGTGCCTGTGCCTGGGGGGTGGAGTCCGGGGACCTGGCGGGGCCGTGGGAGCGTCGCCACCCTTGTTCCCCTTTCTCTCTCGGAGGAAGAAAGGGGAGGGGGTCTGGGGGTCTGGGGACAGTGACGCGGCCCAGCCGCGGGGCCCTCGGGGACCTTCCTGCTCCGGGCAGTGAGCCAGGTGTCAGCAGAGCGGAGGGGCTGTCCCAGGAAGGGCCCGGGTCCCAGGGCACACGCCCCGGGGGGCCCCCCACTCCCCCAGCTGCGCGCTCCGCAGACGGCCGGAGACCTCCTCCCCTCGCACGTCCGGGGCGTCTGGGGGCTGGAGCGCGTGTGCTGCGTGCGGGGCTGGCAGTGCCGCTGGGACACACAGGCGAGCGTGTGCTCACCTGCTAGGGTGGGGCAGGTGCTCCCCTGTGACCGCGACAGGAACGGGGTGCCCCCCGGCGTTCTCGGACACGTCCGCTTGCTCATCGGGGTGCTGTCTCGGGGTGGAATGTCTCTCTCTCAGAGACCGGTAATTCTTGGCTCAGAAACTCCTTCCTCCACCCTGAGGACCTCATACCCAGAACTAGGGGGAAAAGGGCTGCGAAGGCCCGGTTTCAAATGACGTAGGTTGAATAAGCGCCCCTGGGGTCACCGGAGGCCTTTGTCGTCTTTACTTTTGCTTCCGTGAAGAGTGCTTCCCTGTAGGCCTGACACTGCCCTTTCTTAGAGCGTTCGTAGCAAGACTGGGTCTCAGCGCGGTCTCCTGTGCCCCTGCAGGTCGACGGCGGCGAGGAGAATGCGCTCACTGGGCCTCCCGGCGCCGCGAGGGACGCAGGATGTCGCTGAGCGAGGGCGCGGCCTTCGCCTATGAGTCCTCCGTGCACAGCACCAACGTGCTGCTGGGCCTGGACGAGCAGCGGAAGAGGGGCCTGCTGTGCGACGCCACCGTGCTGGTGCAGGGCCGGCCCTTCCGCGCCCACCGCTCCGTGCTGGCCGCCTGCAGCAGCTACTTCCACGCCAGGGTCGTGGGCCAGGCCGACGCCACGGAGCTCCGCATCTCCCTTCCGGAAGAGGTGAGGGGCGCCCTCTGGGGGTCTCCCCGGTCCTCGTTCAGGGTGACCCAGTTAACCCTCCGCGGCTCGCCGAGTTCAGAGTAAAGCCATCTTGTTCCGAGACCCAGGAACAGTTCCTAGGTTCCGCAGCAGTACACTTCTCTAACTTTTTAAATAACAGGATGACAGTCCACGTGTAAAATCACTACTTCTGGGTGTTCAGAGTGTTTGCAGAGCAGGCGAAGAACTCACATTGTTTCTGGTGCAGGGACCAGAGCAGGCACAGCTGGTGGACGTGGGGCGTTTGCACAGGCCGAGCCCTGGCTCCCACCCTGTGCACCGTCCGCTCCCTGGGACCTCGCCCTGGGACGGGAGCCTGTGCCCGGCTCGGGGAGCTGCCGGTCCTGCCCTGCGCTGACGCACATCCCCGGGAGGGGCGGGGTGGTCGGTTGGTGCTCTGAAGTGTCCTTGTTCCCTCTCTGCCCTCTTTCCTCGAGACGGTGCCTGCGCAGGGGCAGGAGACAGCCCGTTCTGGCGCCAGAGCCGGAGAGAAGGCCTGTTTTCACGGGCCTCCTGCCGGCCGGGGCCGGGGCTCTGCCTCCGGGAACCCTCTCCCGGGCCTGGCGGCTGGCTCCCTGAGCCCGAGAACAGGCAGGACCCGTCAGGTGGGGGCTGTGCCAGGAGAACCGGGGCCTGGGGAGACTCGGGCCAGAGCTCGTTGAGAGGAGTTTGAGGAAGTTTCAGAGCCCCGTGTGCAGCAGGCCTGCGTGGCGTGTGCGTGTGTGTGCAGTCGTGCCCGCCGCCCAGGGAGTCCCCCGGCTGCTCGGCGGCAGAGCCGGGAGTGGGCGAGGCAGTGCCGACCACACGGCAGGGGCGGTCGGCTGTGGGGCAGCCGCTGTCTGTAAAGCGCGGTGGTGCATGTCGCGCGGGGGGGGCATGCTTCTGGTGGCCTGCAGCTTTGGTTCAGTACCGCTTTCCGGGGGCGGCGAGCTGGACCCCTGGGTGCGGGAGGCGGGCGTGTAGGGGCGGGCACGTGTGCGGGTGCGTGTGGTCATCCGTGCCTTCTGGTTCGAGTGTGAACCCTGTACATTTTCGGATCCTGGCAGTAGTGACAGATTGGAAACACATGAACCACTATTGTAGAAGCCAGTTTTGGTTGTTTCCCTGCACTTTCCAGAGTTGCTGACTGAAGTTCTATTGAGACACTTGCAAGTTCACAAAGACGTGGGCGTTTCTTTTGCACTCTGGCCGGCCTCCTCCAGGGGTGACATTTTGCAAAGCGACAGTGTGACGCCACAGCCAAGACATGGGCGTTGGTGCCGCCCACCTCCTTCCGCGGGTTCTTTGGTTTTGGGTGCACTAAGCTGTGTGTGTGTGTGCGTGTGTGTGTGTGTGGTTCGGTCAGCCCCCCCCTTGTGAGGTCCACGTGTCCAGCACAGCAGAGCTGCTCAGTGGTTCCGGGGTGGCCACCAGGCTGTCCTTGTGTCATCGTTTCAGAAATGTCACACAGTTGCGGTCACGTGCTGTGTGACCTTTTGGGGTTGGCCCTTTTCCCACTTTCCTCAGTGCCCTGGAGGTTTGCCTGGGCTGCACGTGTCTGTAGTTCTTTGTGTTGCCCCGTAGTGGGCCTGAGTGTGGATGTGTCAGCTTTTATCTATTTACCGGTTGAAGGAAATTAGGCTAATTCTGGTTTTTGGCTATCACAAATAAAGTTACTTATGGATGGACGTTTGTGTAGAGGTCATTTCTCAAGGGTAAAAGGACCCAACCACAGTGGCCGGGACACACGGTCGCTGTGTTCCTGGTTTCCGGGAGAACTGGGGGCCTGCCCGTCGCACATCCCGCCGGCAGCCCTGCAGCCCCCGGCTCCGCCGTGTCCGCACCAGGGTCGCTGGTTGTTGCTGGTTTTCTGTTGTATGCCGTCTGGAAGCTTAAAGGTTTTGTTTCCTGGAGTCCGTGAGTCTTTGCCAAACAGCATTAGGCATGCGTTTTAGACTTCACTTTATTCACTTTTTAAATCTGAATCTTTAAAAATTTTATTAGAAATTTTGGCATGAGAGAAAGATAATGGTTACATTTACTGTGCATTTGCCGTGGTTCAGGACCACTGTAAGTCCTTCGGATATATTTGTTTATCTTCAGCATTTTCACTGTTGCGGTTTAGGGCCGTTGGGGTGTTTGGGGCCCTGACTGCGTGGAGGGGGGCTGGCCGTGGATGCCTGGGACTGACCGTCGTCCAGGCCGCCCTGCTCCCCCGAGGACGGGTCTCCGCTGACGAGGGGGAGTCCTGCTGCTGCTCGTCCTGTTCCCTCGCGAGAGCGAGTCACAGCCCACGTCTCCATCTCCGTCCCAGTGTGTGCGGGCTCTGTTCAGAGCCGGCTGGTCCCAGGACACTGGTGTGACCGGCCGGCCTCCCCTACTCCCTCAGCCGCACGTCCCCCAGGGGCCCGTGTCCCCCCGGGGGCCCGTGTCCCCCCCGAGGCCCGTGTCCCCCCAGGGGCCCGTGTCCCCCCGAGGCCCGTGTCCCCCCAGGGGCCCGTGTCCCCCCGAGGCCAGGTGCCCGTGCCCTCGAGCTCACAGGCCAGTCCTTCGTCTCTCCGCCCCTCCTCCTCCTCGTGCTCATCCCTGGGCAGCTTTCAGGTGACGCGTTTGTTTCTGTTTCGTGTGTTGACAGGTGACGGTTAAAGGGTTCGAGCCGTTACTCCAGTTTGCCTACACGGCTCGGCTGCTGCTCAGCAAGGACAATGTGGACGAGGTGTGCAGGTGCGTGGACCTTCTAGGTGTGCACGACATCGAGGAGTCCTGCTTTCAGTTCCTCAAATTTAAGTCTCTGGACCCGTCTGCAGAGCAGCAGGAATGCCCAAGGCAAAAGTGCTTCCCGCCGCACTGTCAGAACGCAGACCTCAAATTTTCACTTCTGGACCGGAGGGACGCAGACATTGATGAGGTGGAGGAGTTTTGGAGACACAAGAATGCTCCGGCTCCCCAGTGCCAGCTGCCTGAACGTCAAGGAGACAGAAAGACGCCGCCCCCGCTGCAGGACGGCGCCGGCCAGACGTGGGAGGCCATGTGCCTAGGGAAGGACGCTGCTCTGGCTCTGCCGTCCTTGTGCCCCAAGTACAGAAAGTTCCAGAAGGCATTTGGGACGGACAGAGTCCACCCCGTGGAGCCCGGGTTCGGAGACGTGCACGGGTCCCTGCAGCCGGGCGAGACGCCCGAGGGTGAGTGTGCGGGGGGCTCCCGGGGCTGTGCAGGCCCGCCGGCGGCTCTGAAATGTGAAGAAGGCGGGACGGCCATGGAGCGAGCAGACGCCGAGGGAGACCCTGCCCCTCCGTGCCCCCCAGGAGCGGCCGACGCGGCCCCCCTCCCCCACAGCTCCTGCGCGGACGCCGCTTCCCCCGGGCTCTACTCGCTGCCCCTCCTGCACACCTACGGCCCGTACGGCGACCTGAGCTTCGCCGGCGCGCAGGGCCCGGTGGCGCTGGCAGAGAAGCCTGAGTCCGGCCCGGACTCCGGAGGAGAGAGGGCCTGCGCCGAGGGCCAGGAGGCGCACCTGGAACCCGACGCGGGCCCCGGGGAAGAGAGCGGCCTTGCCCGGAGCAGCGTGGAGCGGGAGGTGGCTGAGCACCTGGCCAAGGGCTTCTGGACCGACGTCTGCGGCCTGGCCGCTCCCCGCCCCGCGCAGGCGCACCCCGGCGCGGCCAGGGCCGGCGCGGAGCAGGCCCCCGCCCAGAGGCGGTCGGAGTGCCCCTGGCTGGGCATCCGGATCAGCGAGAGCCCAGAGCCGGGTCAGAGGACTTTCGCCACGCTGAGCCCCGTCAGCTGCCCCTTCATGAGCACTCTGGGTGCCGAGGGCCGGCCCGGCCGCGCGGACCTCGGCACCGACGGTTACGCCTCCGAGCCCCAGCAGGGGCCCTGCCCCTACGCGTGCGTGATCACCCTGGGCGACGACTCGGAGACAGACACCGAAGGGGACAGTGAGCCCTGCTCCGCCCGGGAGCAGGAGTGCGAGGTGAGGGCACTCGCGGGTGTGGCTGGGCCGCGGTTTTGCCGCCATTCGTGGCAACTGGCGGCGTCAGCTCCTGGCGCAGCACGAGGGGTGGGTGCAGGTCAGGGAGGAGGAAGCCCACACTCCGACCCCAGTGGTCTTCTGTGCCAGGGTGTGACAGGTGAGGACCTCGGCGTCCCCAGAGTCCGCGCCAGGTGTGTTACGTTAGCTGTGGCGTGAGGCCACACCTGGGCTGTTTGTGTCCAACGCCGTGTCCCAAGAGGAGAAGAATCATGGTTCTGAGGTCACCGCATGGCCCTCCTAGAAAGCGTGGCCGGCGCCCAGCCTGACTCGTGGCCGCGGGGCTCCACCCCGGGGCCCGGGCTGGTCGCCGGGGGGCAGCCGCTCCTGTGGAGTTTTTTCGCGTTAGTTTTTCACAGCTGTTGCTGTTTGCATGTCCCCGTAGCCCTTTCGGTGTTCGTGTGGTGGGCGTCTCCCTAGCGTAGCGGGTTCTGCGTGCAGCTGGAACGGTGTCCGTCCCCGCAGGTGCGCTCTGCACACGTCACGTGTGGGGTGTGTGCGTGACGGCTGCCCTCTGCCAGACAGCCCTGCGTTCCCGTGACGGCGGGGACTCGCACCTCCGGGCACTTGCCGTTGCTTTCACAGCTGGTGGGCGGCGCGGGTCTGGGAGAGGACCAGGGGCCGCTTTCCACCTCGGCTCCCGGAGGGGGCGCCGGGCGACCGGTGGAGGAGCCGTGTGCGCGTGTCACGTGGGCGGGCTTCCCTGCGGTGGCTGCCGTCCGGGTTTGGGGCTGGGAAGAGAAGGTTAAAAATAGAACATTGAAAAGAATTAAAAATCATTTTGTTTCATTTATGTAACAAACTAAGCAGGTTGCCAGAGAAACTGACCGGTGTATTATTTGTATTTTTGGTCATTAATATAATTAAACTGTCCCACAGTTTTGTCATTTAAAAAAAATTTTTTCCTTTTCCAAGTTGATGTATATTGAAAATGAATGATAATATTTACAGGGTTTTTCTAATTATTTCTACATTAGCAAATGAGATGTGTAGCTTTTAAAATGAGTTAAGTGAAACTACCAATTCCTGACAGAAAAATAAATTTTTTGAAATGCTTTAGAAATACTAGAGTAATTATACTAGATTTGAGTAAGAACCACACCTTAATATAAATCAAAGGATAAAATAGATTTGTGGGGGGAGGTTGGGTGAAAACACATTATAAAAACACTTTAGAAAGAGGCATAAAGATATCTGTGGGGTATTATTATGTCCTAGTAGCGTAAGTTCTGTCTTTTTATTTTAAATGTATTAATATTTGTGTTAATGTTTGATTTGCTTATAAAAATACCTGCTTCTCAATTTATTGGTCTTCTGAACCCTCTTTAAAAGAGACCAGAAATATCAAGAACATGATCAATCTTTAATATAAGGCATCGTGTGGAGACTGGGAACAGAGGCCACTTTTTCCTGAGTCTGAGTGAAGGTCCCTGGGACACAAAGACTCGTCTTTCTCCTCCTGGGTTCAGGTGTATCATAAAACGTAGCAGCAGCCACTGATGTTTTTTCACACCCCAGGTGAAGCTGCCGTTTAACGCGCAGCGGATAATCTCGCTCTCCCGCAACGACTTCCAGTCCTTGCTGAAGATGCACAAGCTGACGCCCGAGCAGCTGGACTGCATCCACGACATCCGCAGGCGGAGCAAGAACAGGATCGCCGCCCAGCGCTGCCGCAAGCGGAAGCTCGACTGCATCCAGAACCTGGAGTCGGAGATCGAGAAGCTGGTGAGGGCGCGGGGCTCCCCTGGGGGACCCCACCCCGTCCCTTCGCTCCCCCCTCCTGTGTGGTGGAGGAGAGCGCGCTCTCAGTGTCTACGTCGGGTCGTGACGTTCGTTTACACACTGATTTTAGGTTTGCCAGTCACCCTTTTAGGAGTATAAATTATATGACGTTGCCAGAAAACTTAGGAGATAGAAAAGAGGGTGTTCGCAGACTATTTTACTTGTGTACGTGTTCTGCACGCTGTAATATGCTGTACTGTGTAAGGGGAGAACGATTTCTGGGAGCTTCTTTAATGATTTACAAGTTAAGGAGCATTTTACTGTCCACCTGAGTCTCACGGGTTGAGTAAGGACCGAAGAGGTTGTGAGGCACTCCAGTTCCTTGGTGCTGCGTTTGGCAGCTGTGAAACTTAACGGTTCAGTTGTTTAAACAAACTGCGGACTCGAATAACTTGTTTTGGTTGACACCGAAACAAACCAACTTGGATCTGTTATCTAAGGGAAAAATTCACATGCTGATATGAAAGGAAAAGTGTAAGATCTCGCGAGACCTTGAGTGTGAAGAAGGCTTCCTTTATTCAGTCTATTCCAGCTTCAGAACATAAATTAACGGAAAAGTGGATTCGCTTGCACCTGTTCCTCCGCCCCCTGGTGGCCGGCGGAGGGAGGCACGGCAGGAAGGGCTGCAGCTGGCAGTGCTGGTCGGGGTCGGGCAGGGGCGAGCTCGCCCTCAGGGTGCAGGGCGGGGGCTGGGTGCGTTATCGTCGCAGATCTTTAAGCATGAACATTCTAGCTATGAGTTACATACAGTTAACGTAGAAAAAACTCTTTTATGTACCTTCAAAAAGTGGGGAAAGTCACGCATTTCGTATATATTTTAATTGTGCAGAAAGAGGAAGTTGTGTAACCGTATAAAAAGATGTAGCAGAAAGCAGATGCTGTGCCAGTGCAGGCGTGAGAGAGGTGAAAACAGCCTGTGTGAGTTTACTGAGTGGTCAAGGTGGGTGGGGTCAACGAGGAGAAGGTGCAAGTTCAGGCATGTCTGCCCAGGATTGGGGGGGGAGGCGGGTGTTGGTAGTCCGTACTGAACGCTCTGGTACTCTCTCGTGTTGTCCAGCCTTAACCAGCCACCTGCCTGCCTTCAGGTGCCTTTTACCTTCCGTGGTGATATTCTGCACGGAAGCGCAGAGGTGCTTTGCAGACTGGTGGGTCCTGTCGAGCTGCTTGGGATCCACACAGAACTGTGCTGTTACCGTTCCTGGGCCTCCGGCTTGTAGGTGCTTCCTCCTCAGTGGGTGACAGACAGCGCAGGTGGGACTTCCTCTTCTCCTAAAGCAGACACAAACGAAAACCTTCAGACCTGTCAAGTCTGCTTCATACGTGACGTTATTTGTAAATGGCCGCTCGGCAAACGTACTGGGGAGCAGCTGTTACCTTTTAGAACTGGTCTGGTTCTGGGCCCATAGGTCTCGTTTATGTTTTCCGATTGACAGAGACCCTGGGTGCCGGGCACTCGCTGTTGCGGCTGCGTCTCAGGCCTCCGGGCCGGAGGCACTGTGCGTGCTCCCTCCTCTGGGCTCGGCCCCTCTGCCTTCGCCTCAGCAGCGGGGGCGGGGGGCAGGGACGGTGTCTCGAGTGCGGGGTTCTGACTCCAGCTCCCGCCACTGGCCCCTGGCGGCTGTGGGCGGGCTGTGTACTGTCTGTCTCGGGTGTCTCGTCTGTGAAATGGGCTCGCACTCACTCTCGCTCCGTGGAGTGGGGCTCACGAAGGTCAGATGAGTTAACGCAGCTGAAGAGCCCAGGAAAGTGCCTGGGGCACAGTAGGCTCTCAGTGACCATTACCCTTGTCTCCTCCTTCTTGCTGTGCTGTTCCTTCCCCGCTTCCAGTGTTCTCTCCCTTAGTGTCGTTTTTCTTCACGGCTCTGCCTAAACCGCGCTTCGGGTTTGGGCCTCGCGCTCACACGGCGGCCTCTCGCGGTCCGGTGAGGCTCCTTCCACACGGTCAGTGGAGTGCCTGCTGGTTGATTTCCAAAACACAGGCGTGTTTGGTTTCCCGGGAGGTTTTACAAAATAAAAAACCAGACTGGTCAGTACCTTGTTTCCCAGTTTTATGGATCTGGACTCCTTGGTTGCAAGAAACAGAAGCCGTCTGAGTGGATGATGGATGGATGGGTGGGTCGGTGGATTTGCTGTGAGGATGGAGGCGTGTGTCACCGAGAAGCCAGGGGGCGGCTGGCCTCATGAGCGCAGCGCATCCTCTCCCAAGCTCAGGGCTGCACCCTGCATGGCCCGGGGCGGCTGCACGTGGCGGGAGTGGCTGCAGCACAGCCCCTGGAGACCTCCCGGCTCCAGGGGCTGCTCAGAGGAGACTGCGGGTTTATTCAGCCAGTTAGTGCACGTGGGTTTGGACTGACACCAGTGCGTTCCGTTCCGAATGCCCAAGGAGGAGAGCGTGTCGTCAGCCCATTCCGGCCCAGGCGTCCTGGTCTGACACACAGCAGACACGCTGTGTCTGCCCCTAGGGGTAGCCCAGAACCTACCCCTCCGGCAGGCGGAGCGCACAGCCCCGGTGGGTCTGGCCACCCGATGTGGCCAGCTCCGCTGAGCTCCCTCCGCCTCTTCCTCCTCCACAAGAGCCCAGAGGAGACGGCAGGGTTGCTTTTCTGAAACCAGAGTGGCATGCCCTGTTTCTGCTTCCCTGAGCTCTGCTCTCAGGTCCGGTGGTGTGTTCAGGCAGAGTCCACCTGTGGAGTGTAAGGGGCGTGCGTGTCACAAATCTCCCCAGTGCTGCAGCGTCTCCCGCAGCTGAACGCGAGCAGAAAGTGGGCCGTGTAAGAAAGCTGGAAGGGGAAGAATCTGATGCCTGAGATACGCACGTGAAGAACTGTCCCTGGACCCTGGTCGCTGGCGGCGCCGTGGATCCTGTCGTCTGTGGAGAGAGAACGAAGACCAGCGCGGCCGCACTCCTGCCTCCCGCTCCGTGTCGCGGCGCGGGGAGAGGGGGCTGCGGAGGAGGGGCGGGCGCTGGCCGCTCCAGCTGAGAGTCCCTTTCTGGAAGCGTGGCCGGTCGACAGGCCGTGTTGTCCCCCAGCCTTCCCAGCCTGGGTGGGAGTTCAGCAGACTTACCTCAGGGAAGTCAGGTGTTTCCTGACAGTCACTTTGCCGAGGCCGGCGATCAGTCAGGCGAACACAGGAGTGAACTCCCGTCCACGTCGCCCAGCCCGGTAACAGCCGGCCGAGGGGCCTGCTCAGCCGCCCTCTGCCGCCCTGGGTCCCGAGAGGGCGGGCAGACCGGGTGCCTCCGCACCCGCAGGCCGACAGGGTGCTCGTCACCATGAGAGTGATTGTAACACGTCTTCAAGCTGCGTCAGGGGGATAGCTGTGTGCAGAGGACACTTTCACGGTCTTAACGTGCTGAGAAAGTCAGGGGGTGCCAGCTCAAACTCAGTAAGTTGATGAGTTGTATTGTTCAGTAAGTAGTCCTGTCAGTGGCACCGTTGGGGAAAAGGAAGCTTGTGCATCGGTTCAGTGGAGAAGTCGATGGTGATGACTTTCCACGTGTGTTTTGGGTTTGACGGTGTGGTGGCGGTGGGCTCTAACTCCGCATTCACTGCGAGGTTGGATATGCCAATGAAGGGCAGGAGCAAAACCCCGGACCGTGCAGCTCCTGTCACGTGTTTGGCTTACAGAGCTCTCGCCTTTGTAAGATGCTTTAGGAGGCCCACGTTCATTTTCTTCTGGAAGATTAGTCTGGACGTTAGAAGACACTCATCTCTAATCCCATTTAAGCCTCGAACAAAGGAAATCTGAACTGAAGGGAGCCTTGCTTCCAAAGAAGAGAATGAAGTCACCACCAAGCATTTCTCTCAGAAGTTGTCCGCGGCTGCCTGGTGCCGACTCAGAGGCGGTCGGCGGTGGGACCACCACGGAGCATGTGCAGTGGTGCCCAGGCGCACTGGTGCCCAGGCGCCCGTGGGCTGCACCGCCTGTGCCCGTGGCGGGGCCGCGGGACCCGGCGCCCCAGAGGTCCCGACTGGCGTCTGTGGTGCCGACGGCATCGCGTCGTTAGAGACGAGTCTGTTTCGGGCGCATGCAGCTGGCTGCCTTCCCACACGCACACGGCCCTCTCCCACTTTTGGGGGTGCCCTCCCACTTCTGGGGGTGCCCGTCAGCGTGCACGGGGCGGGGGGAGACCAGGGTACGCGCCCTCTGTAAGAGGTCAGGGTCGTCCGTGCTGTGCACGCTCGGTGCCAAGGACCTGCTGCACCGGCTCGCACAGGTTGGACGGAGGCCGAGGTGCTTCCGGGGACAGACGGCCGGGAGCTCTGCCGGCGCGTGGCGGGTTCCTGGCCTGGGGGATTACGGTGCCTCCGGCGGCACACCCCTCCCTGGAGCGGGGTGGGGGGGTGAGGATGGCAGCTGCCCGGGGGCCGGCGCAGGGGCCAGGGGCCTGCAGGGGCGGCCACTGAACTGCTCAGCACCTGTTCAGGGCTCAGTAAGTGCTAGCGGTTGCACTCTAAGTGAAAGCGGTTCTCGCTCCAGCTGAGCACTGCTCATGAGTGTTAAACGTTGCCCTGGGTGCCCGGAAATTAAAGACGGGTGTGACACAGTCCTTGTCAGTTGAGCACTTGTACAGTGGTTTCCTAGGGAGCCAGGGTCATGTGTTTTGATTTTTTCTTGAGATACATCTTTTCCCCTCGCGTTCTAAAAACTTGCAGCTTTCAGAAAAGCTGAGTGAATAGGAGAATGAACAACCTCGTGTGGACTCGGCGGCTGCGGGCATTTTTGCCACACGTGCTTTGTCTTTCTCTCCGTGGGTCCGTCTGCCGGGCAGGGGGTGTCTCCCGCCCTGGGGCGCCTGCCCGTGCCTCTCGGCCTCTTCTGACCACAGACGGTTCATCTCGCTCACTGCCCCTCCCCCGCCCCTTCTCTGCGGTTCTCCTTTTCTCTTCTGAGTCATTGGAACCACACTCTGACACTGCACCCGCCTGCCTGCGCATGCACCTGCTGAAAATAGACGTTCTCACCTCTCCATCACATCGGCATGACCCCGGATCTGGGTCACCCCCGAACGGAATAAAAAACCCTCACCGTTGTCTGTGGCCTCTGTCCACACCACCGTCATCATTTCCCAAGTGCATTTCACGCGCGCGCGCTTTGTTGTTGTTGTTGTGCGAACGGGGTCCACAACTGTAAACCTGCTTTCGCCCCCCGCTGCGCGTGAGACGTTTGTGCGGTGCAGAAGTCAAGTCCAGAGTCTCGGGCCAGTCCTCGCTCTGCACCCTGTTCGTGCCTGTGTCCTTAGGTGGCCAGGTTTTTAGTTGCTGAACTTTCTCCTTGTGTTTCTTGCCCAAAAACAAGGAAAAAAAAACCCGGTTAATATTTTATGTGCATTCTTCTTATCCTTTCTTGCTGCGTAGACGTGTCCTGTACATAGGTCTGCGCGTACCTCTCGCCACTTACGCGGTGAGCTCTGGGACGTGCTGGTCACCGTCCCGAGAGGCTGCCCCCTCCCGGCAGCACCGGCGCGTTCGCTCCGCTGGTTCTGGCCGCGGACTCGGGGGCGCCACGCTGTGTGCGTGTCGCCGCCGCTGCTGCCCCTTCGGCCGAGGAGCTGTGTTTCGGGAGGGACTGCCGGAGGCCGGAGGTCAGAGGCCGGAGGCTGCAGCGTTTCCCCCTGCGGCGTGGGCGCATCTGTCCAACGCCCGCCCACAGCTTCCTCCGCGAGGACTTCGTCGTCAGCCTTTGCTTTTCCCCTCGCGAACACTGACCACTGATTGTTCCTGATCGCTTTCATTTTTACGTTTCTTGTGGGTGAGGTCGAGAGTGTTGGTTCGGGTTCGTACGGATCACCTGTGTGTTTCCCGGTGCTGTCCGTTCGGAGGTTCTGCACTGCAGGGGGCGGTGCCGCCTTCTTCTGCCAGTGCGTCCTCCCCCGTCTGCAGTCCGTCGTCACAGCCCCCGGCCCCCGGTGCCCGATTCCCCCACTTCCCACCTTTCCCGGGTGAGTTCTACGTAAAACCTGTCCGATGTCTCATCTCTGAGTGGAGGTTAACGCTAGCCGTTGAGAATGTGGATTGCAGCGTGAGTCTGTTTTGTTACTAAATGTGTAACGGCACCAGAACACCAGTTTTACTCCTGTTGTAAAAGAGATCTGTGGTGAAAGCACAGCACTTCAAACTGATGGCCCGTGCCGCGCCATGGGGAGGCAGCGGAACCACACTGTGGACTCGGGCCGCGGGCCGCGGGTAGTGAGCGTGCCTGAGCGGTGTCCCGTGGTGGTTCTGAGGTGGTTCCGCCGAGTCACTGCTACCGATTTGCCCGTCAGGTACCGAGCCGAGTGCAGTTGCAGCGAGCCTGTGTTTCCGATCAGGGTGAAACGGCAGCCCCCGCGGGCGCTCCCTGTGGGCGCTAGTGCGGACGCACCGGAGCAGAGGGAGCCGCCGCCGCGGAGGGAGTCCAGGCAGTTTCGGGGCCGCCGCTGCCGCGGGGCAGGAGGCCATGTTCGGAGGGACCCGCGCGAAGGGGGCCGCAGGGCCATCCTGCGTGGAGCGGGGGCGGAGGGGCGGGAATGTGTAAGGCACGGGGGTGTTGACCTGCAGACACACACAGAGGCCGTGAAATGCCTGGAACCGGCCTGGTGCCAGAGGGTGGGCGGGTGCTGACCACACCACAGTGTCCTCCTCCGACGGGCGGTCGGCGCAGACCCGGCGCGAAAATGTCCTGCTGGACATTGACTTGGGCCCCACTTACTTACTTACAGATAAATATGTGATAAAACATGTTGTTGACCTGTACCTGTTTTTTCAAAACTGAACAGTCGTGTAAAAATCCGAATTAGAGAACATTTTACAATATAAAAATGTAATGCTTTGCAGCCACTGTACATTTTCTCAAAATCTTAGATGCCATGAAGAATCTAAAAATGGCCATAGTTGGATTTACAGTTTTTTAGAAAAACTTTCATATAAAACAGTGAGAATACATTATTATAAAGCAACTTTCCTTTTACCCTTCCAGCTACTTTTGTTCCAGAAAAGAGTCTGTTTAGAGATTATCACTGTGAAGTCACCCACCCACCTGTTACCTGGCAGCTTCAGCTTTTAAGAACCTGCCGATGAGCAGAAAACCGAGAGTTGTCATAACTTCTCAAGAGAAGCCTTTGACCTTCCCCCAGCACCTCTCTCCTCTCCCTTACCGCGCTCGGCTCGGTGACCTGGCGACCTGGCGACCTGGCTCCGCGCAGTGGGAGGCCGGGTGCAGTGGGCAGCAGGAGGGATGGCGATGGGGGGGGCATGCTTTCAGCGGCGGGGGCGTGCGCAGGAACCAGCAAGGCTGCTGGAGAAATTCTGTGCTGGACTTTCCTGTAGAGATAAAAGTTAAATAATAATAATAACAGCAACAAAAATAATTGACAGACTGAACCCCCCCCCCCCATACACATGCCCCAGTTCTTCCCACGTCAGTAACTAGGACGTTGGCTTCCTGGCCACGCCCCGCCTGCGTCTCCCCGTCACGCGGGCGCAGGGCGGCTCCAGCCAGCAGGTGTGGGCTGCGGGGCTGGGACTGCGTTCTGAAAGCAGCTGGCGCGGTGTTTGGCACAAAGCGAATGCTCAGCAGACTGTCCTCATTATCAGCGTCTTCGGGTGATTTGTGCGACAGTTGTTCTGATCGGCGTGCTTGCACTTTTTTGGGCTCTATTTTAACCAAAACGTCAAGTGCACACTTGTTCACCTATAATCCGTAAATCCAGAAAGCCCTGAAGACTACGAGTGTGTCACACACGGTTTTGGTCAAAAACGGATGCAAATGACATGGGGCTGTGTTATTTTTCCTACTTTGCACATTATTTGCTGTTTTAATATGTTCCACGTAGAAACGTCGAGATGTCTGACGTGAGGTGCTTGCTCAGACCCTGCCAGAGGGGGGTGTGTGCATCCCTATCACTCACCAAAATTCCAGAAAGCCCTGAACCCCAGCATGCACCTGAGCCTGCGAGCTCCGGGTGAGGGGCCTGAGGTGTTCATGCTTCAGTTGGATCGAAAGGGAAAGCTCTTGTGGTCTTGTTTAATGGGAGGGAGCTGTAGATACAGGTGTTGGATCTCCTTAGAAGTGCCGGTCGAGCTAACGAACCCGAGTCCTGTGTTCTCTCTGCCCCCGCAGCAAAGCGAGAAGGAGAGCCTGCTGAAGGAGCGGGACCACATCTTGTCGACGCTGGGCGAGACGAAGCAGAACCTGACGGGCCTCTGCCAGCAAGTCTGCAAGGAAGCCGCGCTGAGCCAGGAGCAGATACAGATCCTCGCCAAGTACTCGGCCTCCGACTGCCCCCTGTCCTTTCTCGTTTCTGAGAAAGGAAGGAGTGCGTCTGATGGTGCTGCCGCGTTTCCCCCAAGTCTGAGTGTCCTCGAGGGCCCTGCAGCTGCGCCGCCCGCGGGGGAGGGAGGCCCCAGCGGCCCCAGTGGCCCCAGCGGCCCCGGCGGGAAGGGCAGCGCGGCCGCCTGCACGCTGGGCCAGGAGCCAGGGCCGCCTCCCCAGGCGGCCCGCGAGCCTGCCGGGCGCACGGAGCCGTGCCGGCCGGGGGCAGGCCTGGCGGACGTGTGTCAGCAGATGACGGACAAGTGCACCACCGACGAGTGAGCGCGCGCCCCCTGCCCTCGAGCCGCCGAGTCTCCTGCCGAAGTTCCGGCATTGGCCTTGGAACCCGGTACAGGCACTTGTCTCCTAGCAGCGCTGCCCCTCCCCGGGTCGTTGGCGGGCCGGGGGTTCCCGAGCCGTCAGCCCCGGCGTGTTCTCAGCGCCACGGGAGCCGTAGGGGCCACGTGCTCCTGCACCCCGAAAAGTCGCCTGTGAGAACGCAGCGGCGACGGCTCTCAGTGGCAGCTCCTTCCCGCGCTCAGAACAGAGACGCGAACGGGCTCCTGTCGGACAGTGAGACGCCGCGAGGCCTCTGCCCGCGGGCAGACCCGCTGGAGAGGCAGCCGGGCGAGGGGGGCCCACTGGTCTCCGCAGCGTTCCGACGCGAGCGGGGACGTGTCCCCGGCGGAGGAGGAGGGCCAGAGATCTGCTCGGAAGGGGTGCCCGCTACCCGGGGTGTTCGGGTGGGGCGGTTCGCTCTTCAGGCTCCACCAAATCAGGGAGTGGGCGGCCCGCCCGCCCGGGGCCCTGAGCCACACGGAACTCGGGGGAACAGGCAGGCGGGCGGCCTGGGGCAGCGGCGCCTGCTGCGTGTCTGTGTCGACGGTAGAGGCCCTGGGAAGCTTCATGCCCCCTCTTTCTCTTCAGTCTCCCACGTCTGGGTCCACCGGGGTCTGGGTTTCCCGGCGCCCTGTCCCTGTGCAGGAGGAAGTGGGGCTGGGGTGCAGGGCCCGAGTGCGCGCCGACCCGGCCGCCGTGGGCTCCCAGGATGCCCGAGAGCCAGGCGCCGGGGCGGCGGCCACCACCTGTCCTCCCAGGTGAGGTCCGAGGGCTCGCCTGTAAGCAGCGTCGTTCTGGGTGACAGTGCCTCTGGCACAGCCGTGTGGGTCTGTGAGACGGGAAGACACTCGGCCCTGTCTCACGGGGGGCTTGCAGGTGGACCCCAGCCGAGGCCTGCTCTGGCCCCCGGGGCGGGTGGGTCCGGGCGCACAGGCCGTGTTGCCTCGGGCATTTCAGGGCGCCCTCCGTGTGCACCCAGCCCTGCTCTGAGGCGCTGCTTCTCGCCCGAGGGCTCGCCCCGTGACGCTTCGCGGTGCTTCTGGGGCGGCCGGGGGTTAGACTTGCTGGAGAGTCGGTGAGAGCCGTGGACCGCCGGCTTCCTGCCGTTGGAAGGACTGCGTGTGTCCTCGCACAGATTCCTGTGCGGAGCCCAGTGTTAAAGGGTGCAGGGGAGTCATTTATGGTGTTGGGGCCAGAAAGCACCTCCCCAACACGAGGCACCCAAGGGGCTTCCCCGAGGGCGGCTGGGTGCGGCAGAGGGCCAGGCGGCCCGTGCGGGCCTGAGCCTGTGGGGACCCCCCGGCACGCTTCCGAGTCCTCTGTCAGATGTCACCCTTTTGGGGGGGGGGTTAGGTGGCATCCCAGTGCATTCTCAGTGGTCTGGCGTCATCGCTGGTATCGGCCTAGCTGCTCCGAGAGAGAACTAGCTGGGCTTGTCCGTACTCCAGAGGCTTCTGTAAACACACTCAGGAGTGTGTCGGGGGGAGCAGCGCCGTGTGACGCACGCCCACCCCACGAAGTGTGCACACACACACCCCACGTACCTGTTCCTGCGATGCTTGTCATTTTAAGGTTTAGCTTCAAAACCCAACGTGGAAACGTCTCTGGTTTACAGGACGTAACCCTCACACCAGCCAGGGAGCCCTCGATTCCTACCTCAGCGGCACTCGCACCCGCGCGGGCGCCCCGCCTGCCCGTGCGCACGGCCCCGAAAGCTCCTTTCCCCTCCGGCGGCCAGGCCTGCTCGTCTCCAGAGTCGAAACGTGGCTTGTCAGGCGTCTCGTGTGAATTTATCTCCGCACACGAGCAGCGTAGCATTAGGGGTTTATTCCGGCGGCATTCTGACGACAGGCCAAGTGGAGTGTTTCGTGCAGCGCGGCGCTGTGTCCGCAGCCAGCATGCAACACCAGCAACCACGCTACCTCACTCCTCCACGGTCTGCGCTCGCAGAGGGGCGGGCGGGCGGGCGGGCGGGCGGCAGCGGGGCCCCTCTGTCTCGGGCTGTCGGGTGGAGACCCTCTGTCTGCTGCATACCCTCACACACCTATGCCTCGCTACCTTCTCAGCAAGACTTTCGTAATGATCAGTTTTCAGTTGACTATTTTGGGGGTGTGGAAGACAAGTGACGGGACCGTGTGCACGCAGTGTGCCTCTCCTTCACGCGGAGCTCCGGAAGGCTTGTTCCCGGTCGGCGGGCGTCCCGTCCGGGCCGTTGCCCCCGTGTAAACCGGCCTTCCCGACGTCTCCCAGCCTCCCGGCGCCCGCGTGTCCGCCTCGTCACCGTGCACCCGCAGCGCTGGCTCGTGCTTAGCTCGTCCCGTGCGAGCAGACGTGGGCGCAAGCCCCGATGCCCGTTCGTGGCGCCTGACCACGGTGTGCGGGCGGCCGGCGTCCAGCCAGCCGGCTCGGAGCGAGGAGGCAAAGGTGTGGGCGGGCGGCCGGGCCGGGCCGGGCCGCAGGCGGACACTCGGCCACACCGACAACTCCGGAGGAAAGTCAGACGACGGCAATGTTGTCATGAAGTCTCAGGTGAACTCTTCTCAGTTACAGAACATCTATTTTGAATTTGTAAATATTTTAAGTGTTTTATTAGGCATGTAATAAACTATTCTTTGAAACCTGTCAGGTAAATGAAAATTTAAAGCCGTAATGGCATACTTATTGTAAATAAACATCTGTTGATTTTTTGTATCTTTCTTAATATAATTTTCTAACAATGCAATAAAACCACTAAATTTATATATCCATGTTGTATTAAGGTCATGGTTCATTAAAAGTAAACATTCATAGTATTTAATTTATATTTCCTCCCTCATGTGCTCATCCAAGTGTAGCAAAATGACGACTGTTGGATGTTGGCGATGAATCAACAGTTAAATAAAACTCCTTGAAACTGCTGCTGACCCAACGGTGTTGTACATTCCACTTCCGCCTTGCCGGCGTGTGCGAGCTCAGCGACCCCCCTGCATCGGTCAGTGACTGGGGCCTCTGAGGGACTCTGATGAGCTGGTTCCCCTGCAGGGACACTACTGTCACTGTGATAAAAGCTTAGAAGGGTGCACAGCTGTGGGGGGGGGGCCTCAGACACCATGGATGAGAATAAGTCTACCAAGACCTGATCTGCTTGGGGAGGAAAGGTGGCCGATCTCAGAGGGGAAGGGCCAAGAGCCTTTTCCTCAATGGGCTTTTATTGGGTTCATTTGCACAGGAATGCGGATAAAGCTCATCAATCATGGTCAGGCAGTAAGGATCAAGCAATAGATAACAAAGAACTATGAGGGCTTGTTCTGAGTCAGGGTCAGATAGCCAAAGAGCTATAAAACTTTGAGGAACAAACTCACTTCTTGCTTGGACCCTTATTTAATTGAGAGCATTCTTAGCAAAGCAGGTTTCACAGGAGTTTACATGTTCTTTCTCAGGCCTGATCACCCGGGGAACCCACCCTTTCCAGCACAGGGCTGCACCACCCTCCGCCATTGTTTCAGGCTTAGGTGGAGCAAGGGAAGTAAGGCAGCCAAGAGGTTAGGAGACTTCTTGCAGACAAGATGAGGACTCAGGACTGTGTCAAAGCCGAGGGGCGAGGGCCCATCACCCCCTTTTTCCATAGCCCCCCAAAGTCCTTCCCTGGGGCCCCCCTGTGATACTGCCTGTCTTCAGTCGTTGCCCCCTTGGGGAACCTTACCCGTGATTGGCTAACCCATCAAGCACTGGGGGCCAGGCGGGGTGAAGAGAAAGGAGCAGAAGCAGGGCCCCTGCCAGGGAGATAAGCTGTGTCTCCTCAGTGGCTTACGGTTCGAAGGTCGCTCCCTCAGCCTTAGCCACGGGGGCGGTTACAGCTCCTGAAACCAGGCAGGGCGGCTCCCAACAGACGGCGGGGGAGGAGACCGACCGGGAGTGCTCGCCCACCTTCCTCCCGGGTCAGCACACGCCCCGCCGTGAGTGATGGGGCTGTTTTTAAGGTCGTCCGCAGCTGATCCTGAAGGCTCCCCAGTGCCGTCTCCACCTGGCCCCAGCCCCTCCCCAGCTGTTTCCACCAGCTGCTCGGTGATCCGCAGGCCCCTCCTCTGGCTGCAGGGCCAGGGGCGGCCCCTGGGCCCAGGAGCGCAGGTTTGTCCTGGCCCAGACTAGAAGCTGGGAGCAGCGTCTGTGCCCCGTAAATGAGAGCGGCCCGCCCTCCCAATGCCCTTCCCGGGAGGCCAGGCTGCCTGGCTCTCGGGGGCCGGGTCTCCAACGTGGCGTCTTCCCCTGGACCAGCTGCCCCTGCCTTCCCAGAGACGTCCTTCCCGTGGGCTCTGTCCTTGTCCCATCTGCTTCAGTTTTGGGTGACTTCCTTCAGAACCCACCTCCTCCCACTCCAGCCGCCTCAGTAAACCTGCCCTTGGCCCCCCCCACCCAGTGGCAGCCAGTCCCCTGCACCTGCGTGGGTGACACAGGTGTGTGGTTGGTCCCAGGCCTCCCCGGCTGTCACGCACCCAGGGAAGAGCCCCCTGTGCCCACCTGTTGCGTCTTCCAGGCCGCTCCTCCCCCAGGTGGTGCGGGAGGCAGGCCCGGCCCCCAGGCCCCAAGGCGACGAGCAGGTGCACAGAACCACCCGGGTTCGTGGGTGGCAAGCGCACCTCGGGGTGCACGCAGCTCTCCCTTTGGCGCGACGTTCAGAGGCACGGTTAATAACCGGTCCTCACGGGCGCTGCGATGGAACTGGCAACAGACCCACCCCGGAGGCCGGCCCTGCCTGGGGTGCGGAGTGCTTGTGCCGCCTGCCTCTGAGCACCTCAGGTGGGGCGCACCTCCAGGTGGGGCGCACCGGTCCTCCTTGCCTGGCACCGGAGCCTGCCGCCCCGCTCGCGTTACGCCGTTCCGAAAAGTGTCTGCCCGCGCCTGGTCCTCGGACCTGCCCTTGGGGTCCGGTCCCTGTCCGGGGGTGTTAGCAGCCACCAGAACATCAGAGTTCGGCTCTCAGCGCGTGGCTCGGGTGGGGCAGGCCCTGGTCCAGCGGAATCACCCCAGGGCCCCTGGGGTGGCCGGCCCGCCCCCCGCAGCGGGGCGCACCCCCTTCTGGGTCTGAGTTCCAGCGACGTCTCAGCTGTGCGAGACGTTGCAATCGACTTGGAAACGATTCGGAAACTAAACATGCAGACGTCACAGCCGCCGGCCCAGGAAACCCGCCCGCGCCGGGCAGCGAACCACCCCGCAGCCAGCCCGCTCTGGGCCAGGCGTGCAGGAGGTCGGACCACACACGGCGGCCTCCGGCCCCGGCCCTGAGTGGACCTGAGCGACTGGCAGCCCCGCTTTCCACCCAGGACCGACCGGAGGAAGCCAGTCGTGCGCCCCCACCCACCCCATGGGTCGCCCCGCTGCCAGGGAGCCTCCCCAACCTCCCCAGGCCCAGGCCCAGGCCCACACCTGCAGCCAGCGCACACCTGAGCCCCCCGCCCCGCCCCCTTTTCCACTGTGACGCCCTCCCCTCCCCTCCCCCGACTCTGGGCAAGTGACAGGGGCGGCTCATCCTCGCGCGGAAAGCGCCGAGTGACCGGCCTTGGCATTCAGTTGGTCTTCCTTCATTTCTGCGGGCGGGACACACCCATCTGGATACTCACAGCGATGACCACACACCTCGGGGCGGGGGGGAGGCAATGAGAAGGTGTCGGACTCCACAGAAGTTCTCGGGGTGTTGGGCTGTTCCCCTCGGGGTGTTTGAACCTCCTCTGGGGTTGCTTCTCTCCTTTTTTCTGTCGCCACAGAAATTTGTACCAAAACAGCCCACTGCAAAATGGTGAACCTCGTAGCTTTCCAGCTGGAAACTTTTTTGGAGCTGAAGGCAGTTATTTCCGCAACAGATGGGTTCCGGGTTTGTTAATTAAAAAGAATGGCAGGGAGAGTCGCAGCCGAGTGCCGTCCGGGGGACTTTATTCTACATTCACAAACGTGGTCTCACCATGATGGAGATGAAATGGCAGGAGCTTGAAATATAGTAACAGCTGAAAATGTAAAAGTAATTCTGTTTAGCATAAATACTTGTCCTAGCAGTTTTATGACCTAATAAAAATCAAAGTATTAATTAAGAAACCCCTGAGCATTTTCATGATGAGAAATCATATGTATTCTGGGAAAACAGAAACATTCCCCATGTATTCGCACTGCAGGAACGTTCTAGAAATTCTTTTCCCCGGGACTTTCGCAGAAGCGGATCCCATCGGCAGGCGTCTCTACGGGCCCCAGCAAACAGAAAGACCGATCGGAGGTTTAACCCAAACTCGGCGATTTACCTCACATTTTATCTGAGATGCGGAGTAGAAATTCATAGTCATTAGATATTGTTTCTCTTATTTGTCCTAAAAATGTACATTAAAAAAAATTTTTTTTAGCCCTGGCTGGCGTAGCTCAGTGGATGGAGCGTGGGCTGCAAACCAAAGTGTCGCAGGTTCGATTCCTAGTCAGGGTACATGCCTGGGTTGCAGGCCACAGCCCCCAGCAACCGCACACTGATGTTTCTCTCTCTTTCTTTCTCCCTCCCTTCCCTCTCTAAAAATAAATAAATAAAAATATTAAAAAAATTTTTTTTTACTGTAGAGAGAGGGAGGCAGAGGAGAGAACACCGTTGAAACGCTGTGATGGTCTCTAACTTCGGGAATCCCTTCTGAGTGGACGGCAGCATCGCACACACACACACACCGCGGTCACGCTACACCTTTAAAACCATGGGTCGTTCAGGGAACCCCCTGCGTACGCCCCTTCTGGGTGCTCCCACGGGCTGCCGTGTGTTGAAGAAAGGGACATCGAAGGTGTCCAATGAATGCTCGGTGAATGGATTCCGTGCAAACCAATCTCAAATTAAACTCAGTTTGGAGGATGTGCTGAGCCCAGAGCGGTCACTGAACACGTGTGCAAAACCCTCTGGCCCGCCCCGCCCCACCCTCTCTGCAGTTCGCTCCCGTGGCCTCTGTGACCGCCGGCTTCCCGGCCGCCCCTTTCCTCTTGGCTGAGTGGGGCCGTCTCCCGCTCCCCGGCGCTGGGTCTCAGGGCGGCCGCCGGGTGCCCCCGACCCGGCCCTCCCTCGGGCGGGCCTCAGGGGCGAGCAGTCCTCACCCAAGGGGCTGCCCAGAGCCAGGCCGCCGGGGCTCCTGGTCCTGAGCCCCTCGCTGCACCCACACCCCCTCCTTCTCCGTCGCCGCGTGGCTTCCGATCCGTGGGAAGCCAGCTCAGATCCTGTCTGTGGTGTCCATGCCTCTCCGGCCGCTGGGCGGCATCTCTGTCCATCCCGGGGTCAGCTGATCGGAGTCCCTCTCTCGAGCCAATGGCTGATTTTTAATGTCGTCTTCCCCAAACACAGTCTCTTCCCCTGTCACCAACGTAAGCTCCAGCGACCTATTCTCGGGAAAGCCAACTTAAACATAAAAATGCTGGCTTTGATTTCATAACAGTTTCGTGCGGAGAGACTCGGATTCAGGTTTGAACTTGGACTTGTTTATGTTTAAATCCACGCCTTTCTCCCCGTGTCTCAGCAGACAGGCGACAAATCACAATGTGTGAGACAGGGTGGAGGTGTCGGGGCTTGGAGACAAGTTAACGGGGCGGAGGGGCCGCGGGGTGGGGGCACGGGGGCGGGGGGCAGCGCTCCTCCGATCCCGCGATCACCTGTGAGACGCTCAGCTGGTGGGTCCAGCCTGGGAGCCAGGGCACCGGCCGGGACTGTTTTGGGGCTGCAGAGACTCTCAGGGGTCACTGAGCTCACGGGACGGATTTACCCACAGTGCAATAGTCATCTACCACTTCAGTGGGTCCCTAAACCGCGCCCCCCCCCCCCACTGCAGCTCATTCCAATCACCAGAAAGTTTAAGCTTTTTGGTAAATAAGTGTCTCCGTGTAGCTTCCACCCACCATCCCTGGGCAGCCAAACGGAGGG